GGCTAGACGAAGAAGAAGAAGAAGAAGGGGATGAGAGTGTCCGCTAAAGCCGAAAGTCTTTTATATAAAAATATGTTTACAATAAACCAAAAAACTTTTGTTTTTAAATATGTATAAAATGACGTTGCTGCTGATATCGACGCGCTTGCTGTCGGTAATCCTGTTTTGAAAAAAGAATTATGTTTCATTTGCTGTTTTTTATAATCAACTCTCTAAAATATCGAAAATACCTAGCATACCGTTGAACTTCGTTATCTGATAAATAATCAATAAATTTTATTAGATCGTCGAAATGTGATCTTATCTATGATAACTGCATTTTTGGCAGCGTTTTATTGTAGTCTTCTTCGCTATCTTCACTCCCATCCTCGTTTTTTAGGTTCATAACTTAGCCATTTTAAAACATCTTCCTCGGCTACAAATTCTTCAGCATTATTATATATTGTCCTATAGAAATCAGTAACTTTCAACCCTTCTAAATCTAAGTCTGCATTGTGGTTATCAAACAAATTCTTCCAACCATTTTTTTAATGTTTGCTCTTTCAGCTCCTCCCATGCTGCATCAAAATTAACAATTGTTGTATTTAAATTGTAAGATCTTAACTTTTTGCAAGGTACGCTGCTCTCTTGAATCTTCTGCATAATCTCCATCGTGCAATACAATCGTTACTTCGTCTAAAAACTTCCTAAAAACTTCGATATATTCCTTTGGTTGCCAAAATTATTCCTTTATTGAAGCAAGCAGTATGTTTTGGCAAAAACATATATCTAAAGTTGCCATCTTCTGAACGTAGAATAATTTCAAAACGGTGAGCAAGAGCGTTGTCTAAAAGCAGTTTCACCTCTTCTGGCGGCATTCCCAATTTTCTTCTCTTGAAATTTTCTCACTGAAGTACAAATTCTTTGAAAAACCAATTTTTGAAAATATCCGAGGTGAACCATGGCTTCTTAGAGCTATAATATGAAACGGCAGATGATGCAGTATATCTTTTTAAACTCTAGGTTTGTGAGATTTGCCAAACATTACAGGAGTCAATCTATGCGATTAATCGGGGTTAGCATAAAGCAGTGCCGAGATCCTGTCCTTGCTGATTTTTTTTTCACAATTTGATTTTTCTTATTTGGAGGATTGTGTGCTTTCAGGCACAGTACGCAATAACAAACCAGTTTCGTCAGCATTGTAAATCTGAGATTCTAATAGCATTTATTTACTTATATCTTCTACTAATTTTTACCTAAAAGATTTTATTTCTTCGTTTGGTGCACCTAAAGCTTCACCGTAAATTCGTTTATTCATGATTCCGTGTCTTTTGCGAAGGCGCCAGAACCATCAATCACTTGCTCTGAATGGTATGTCAATTGCAGAAGATTTCAATTTGACTTCCCGGACCGGGATCCCACTAGAACGTTGTTGGCCGTATCATTTTAAGATTGCTTCTTCCAGTGAAGTTTAACGAGCCAATTTCATTCGTTTTTTGAGATTGCTGTTCTCTTTAACATCACACATTAATGCAAATTTATTTATTTTCCTTTTGTTTTTTTTTGACCATCTTCTTTCTTTCATCCTCTGTACGTGCTCAAACTATTCCAATTGTTTTATGGTTATTTTACTTATTATGAATTCTTGCTCTAGTTGGTTTCTTACTTGACACTATGCTTCAATTATTTTTTTCAATGCTTTGATTACAATAGCATTTATTTTACTTTAATGTGTCTTTTATAATACACAGCTTCCACTTGCATATGTTATCACCATGATACTATGACTTCCAAGATGAAATCACTTCGCAATCGAATTTTGTACATCGATGCGCGTGTCGCCACTTGGTGATAAAAGTTTATCTTTAATTTAATGTTCTGAAATATATTTTATCTAAAATTTACTATTTTTATACTAATTTACTACATTTATTTGTCAACGTACTAGATAAACGATAAAATAATACTAAATCTGACAAAACTCCATGCAAAACAGAACATTTCTGGTGATATTTGTCGCTAAGTGACGTCACACGTGCAAATGAGATAGACTGATCGTATGCGCGTAGGTTTATCTTTAGAAGTTCATAGTATTATGTGTTATCACCATAGAGGAAAGAAAGGGCCTGGAAAACTACGGCCACTTATCCATTCCCATGGTACCTTACAAAGGGACGTCGACCAGTCAATTCAAAGTGCCCTCAGCGTGGATGCCATCTTTGGTGGATAATCGATATTTCTTACATGGGTAATAATAATAATAATAGCGTTTATTGTCCAACAGAATCCATTTATAGGACAAAATACAATACTACAGTTAAATGAAATATTAATAATTCGTAGGTACTAACTAAATAACACATTTTTCGAGTATTTTACCTTAACATAAAAAACTACTTAATCACCTAGATAGATCTCAGCCATCCTAGTAAGCTGCTTCAAACTGCAGTGAAATATATCGCAGTAAGCACTTAAGGAATTATAATAGTTGCAAATGGGAAATAGAGCAGAATTTAACATAAGATTAGTTCTAGCTTGTGTATTTCTGAACGTAATCGAATTTCTCACTGGATAAGATGGAACGTTAAAATTTATTTGTCGAAGAATATCAGGGCAGTCAATGAAATTATGTAGTAGCTTGTACAGGAATATTAGGGAGGCATTAATTCGTCTAGATTCTAATGATACTACGACCAAACCGCTACATGAAACCGCTAATGAAATGAAAACACCTTTTTAAAGGTGAAAAATGTCCACCCACAAATTTAGGTTCGTAGAATGGGAGTAGAGCTCCGACAAAGGGCTTCCAGGGTATAGGAGACCCTATATAGGAGCCGGAGCAAGACTAGTCTGTTAGCAAGTAACTTAATTAAACCCAGCCTGTGAGACATCTTCACCCCTACGAATTCCGTTCGAGTGTAACAATTCATTGGAGCGGAGGTAAATTGATTCGACTAAACAAGAATCACTTCACTGCGTTCCAATGCTCCAGATCATCTCTTTTCCTCCTACAGCACTCTGATGCGAGATAGGGGCACAATTAGCAGCCAAATGCTTCTCATGGGAGTTCTGGGTAATAGAACTTGTTATTCGCTTTATTCCTGCCAGTATACTGTGACTTAAAAATTTTACATACTTATATATACATATTTATACATTTATACATAGACATATTTATATATTTCGATATGGGCATTTGTAGATCAGTTGACCAATGACTAAAAGACCTGAATACAAAGGATGGGTTCCAAGCCAAGTCAAACGAGAATATAAATTGTCTTCGTCAATAAGTTTAATCCTCTCGATATGAACTTTATGTTTTTCTCTGTATTTATTTGGGTTTTTGTCTCTATATTTTCTTTTTTGCTTCATGATTTCCAGTATTTCTTGAGTCATCCAAGGTTTTCGGCTTTCGGTTTTCTTTTGTAGAATTTCTTTCCTTGTTTTTATAACAGAATCTTTGATTTTATTCAAGATAAGGAACTCCACAATGGATTTTACTCCACATTCTCAGTGTTTTTTAGTTTTGATGTTAATTTCTTCATTTCTTGATTGATACGAGTTGAAGCCTCAGCACGGATTTCATTTATCTTGAGTAAACTTCTAGCATTTTCAATTTCATTGACTCTTTGAAGTATATTGAAATCTCCTCGTATATGAAAGATATGTAAATTGCCTTATATATGTTTAAAAAATAAAAGAAAGAATTTTTTCCGTGTTTGTTAGTTCGTATCTTTCAAGTTAAAATACGCAAAAGTGTTTTCAATAATTGTATTTGCATTGCTAGATGTTAAAATAAACCATTTTAGAATTGTTTATTATTTTAACTTTTTCGGCAATTTCTTTTAATGTTTTATTCGAAGTCGCATTATAATTTTTATACGTTGTAGAAGTGAAATCTTTAACGTTTTAATTTCGTTGTGTTTTGCTATTTCAGCGTTTTGTTTATTTTCAAGTTAGCAACGAATTTTTAAATTCGTCATTCATACTTGGGTCGTCGTAGTGTTAGGTATGGATCTTAATTCATGCTTGGGTCCCCAAGCAGTTCGTTAGGCTCAGGTATGGATCCGAATTCGTCGTCGAATTTGTGGTTTTCTGTTTTTGGCTCCTTTTGTGGAAATAAGTAGCAGTAGTGGTGGATTTTTATCTATTATGAAGTGACCGGCATTAATTTGCCAAAATTGGTGGAGATTTAGCTCAATGTAAATGTCATTTTAGAAAAAATGACCACTGTTTCGTTTTTTTGAAGATTTTAAAATGTTTCAAAAGTCTAGTACCTGTTAAAAAGTTGAACAAGTTTAGTTCCAGTTTTTTTGAGAGTTCCCGTTTTTCCAAGTGTACTAGTTCTAGCCCAAAAGGATAAAGCTCTTCGCTGATGATGTCCGGATAGATACTCCAGAGATGTAACCAGTTTTTTTTCGTTAAGTGAAACATTTGTAAGTTTTATGTAGTATCTCCAACTCCTGGAGTTTGTAAGCGGATGACACACGTAAGTTTTTTGTATTCTTGTATGTTTTCATGTTGTAACTGTTTGTGGTGACACAAAAATAAATGTTAAATTTTGTTTTCTTAACATTTTATTTATTTTTTTTTTGAACTAACCCTTTTTTGATTTTTATTTGAAAAAGATATTTTTTGATGTTTTATAATTATTTCCCTAGTTACAACTAGTGGTTGTAATAGGTATAATTAGGCACCTCAAGTGGCGCACTATATTAAATTTTTGAGGTGTTTCCTGTTAATTTTTATTTTGTTTATCCCAAGAGATTAATGACCCCTTTATTTCATTTTTTGTAGTTGCTCCAATCCAACCTCTTTATCTTTTACTTATCCACGACCCCAGCTCTCCTACCAAACCCTGAGTGCCGTTCTTATAAGTAGAGATTATTTTGCTTGCCTTATCTTCACCCCAATAGTTTCTTCCCTCAATTTTCTACCCCCTGTATTAATGAACCCTTTGGTAGGCAAAATATTTCCGTTACAAACTCTCCCAGATATATAACGATAAAACTCACTAGCTATATATAAATATATATATATATATATATATATATATATATATTAAAATATATTATATTTATATTAAAATAAGTACACTGAAATTGTTTACATATAAAATTATAATCAAATAATTTTTTTTGGTAAAATATTGACAACTCTTGTTATAATCTTTTCAATCCCAATCTCATTCCATCAATAGGCATCAAATTAAAATTTCTCTTCATTAACTGAGGAGGAATAAGGGTATCTGCAATCGGTACTATCTCAAAGTGATGCAGCAGATACGAAAACAACGCCTTCATTTCAAGCAACGCAAATCTGGATCCTATACAGTTCCTAGGACCTAACCCGAAAGGGAAATACGTATATTCCTTGATTTTACCCTTGTTCTCGTCGCTGAATCTTTCAGGATCGAATCGTTCTGGGTCCGGAAAATATTTAGGATCGTGGTGAATGGACATAACGGGTAAAACGAGAATCGATCCTTTTTCTACAATTAATGGCTCCTCATCTGGACTTTCTGGTTGTATTACGTATTCTTTGCTACATTCTCTGTCAATACCAGGAAAATTTGGCCACTTTCTTAAACATTCTGGAAGAAAAATGATATTTTAATTTATGTACATTAGCTAAATTAATTTAAGATTAAATATAATGGAAAAAGGTGCACTATATGAGTACTTTACCTGAAATAACCATATCCAAATACTTCATCTTCATCAACACTTCGTACGTCATTTTTCCTTTACCTTCTTCAAATCCTTGGTCAATTTCTTCTCTCAATCTGGTTTGAATATCTGGATGGGTTGCTAATTCGTGTGCCGCGAAGCACATAGTACTGGAAACTGAGTCAAAACCACCAAAGAAAAATATCAAGGCATGTGCGGTAATATCTTCATTTGTGATGTCAGAAGCTTGCATATGTTTTCCTTTAATATAAAAAAATAAATTGAAAGTCTTAAAAGTTATTATCGAATAATGTATTACCTGTTAGATGTTCTTGAACTGTAGAATACCCTGTTTCATCGATTCCAGATTGCTCATCTTTGTGCTGTATGCCCTTCTTTGCTTCGATTAAAAGATTCAACATATCAGGCCTCACAATGTTTTTTTCTTCCCTCATTCTTAAAGTGTCTTCAATCAGATTAATGAAGAATAGTCTTGAGGGTCCATCAAAGATATTTATTTTTAGGAGCTTACAAAATAAGTTAAATTAATATTTGTATAAATATTCTAAACCAAGAATTAGACTCAGTATCAAAGTAGTAACAAAAAATAACTACCTTAAAAATTTTGGGTATTGTTATAAATCCCACTATTTTTAAATTCTTCCAGAAACTAGAAAAGCTCGTAATTTCTTTTCCCATTAAGTAAAACTCATTTTTTGGCTTCTCAAAAGAATCTGTACGTATTCCAAAAGCAGTAGAAGCTATAATATCGTTAGCATAACGAGTTGCAACATCTTTAAATGCCACTTCAGTGGTTTCTTGATCTTTAGTTAAGAAGTGTTTTACCAGATTTTCAGAGCAGTCCGCCATGAGATGAAACATCATCTTCATCTTGCTGCTAGTGAATGAAGGACTTAGTACTGCCCTCATATCTCTCCATCTTTGATCTACAAAAAAAAACCAATACTTAGAAGATAAAATAAAAATAAAAATAAAAATGAATCGCCGAAATGTTATCCCAAACATTTTTTTGACAAAATGTTTTAATTTTTATTTTTTTATGATGTGGTATTAAACAATTCATACACTAACTCCTATTTTTTAATATCGAAATTAGTGTGAGAGAGTTATTAGTATTACAGAGTTAGTTACCACACTCCTTCGGAACGGCTTGACCGATTTTTATGAAATTTCATATGTATATTCGGTTGAATATACTACTCTGAAGTTTCTTTTAGGAAAGTTGTTTTTATTTAAATCACAACGACGTAGTCACCTATCCTACAGAGTTTCGAATTCATTGGAATTGCCTGGACTTCCACCTAACAATTTACAATTAAAAGTAGGATCAGTTGTCATTATGCTGCATAACATGAATCAATGACTGACTGACTGAAGACTGACCATGCAGAGGCTAATGAATAATATCATTGCGACAACGATTATCAACGAAAAATATAAAGGAAAAGATACCCGCTTATAAAAATCATTTCAACGAACGTATCATTTGATTTTAACAGTTTACAATTTGTCGTGCTTTTGGCTTTTGCAATGACAATAAACAAATCACAAAGTCACCCGTTGGAAGAGGCCGTTTGACCTGACCTATTGAGTACGCTACTAAATACAAAATCTTTAATAATTTAATTGCAAATAAATTATATTATTTTCAATAATCTAATACCTCTTAACGAAAGAAGATTCTTTGACCAAAGTGGATCAGATCCTTCTGGTACAAACGTCCTATGATTAACGAAATGGTCGAAATCCTTAACAGTTATCTGTTTTAATAGCTTTGGATCTCTTATCATCAAAGCAGGTACTGTAAATTGATAGAAACCTACATATCTATAACAAAAATTAAAAAATAATTAAAATCAAACATACTTTTTTTATTTTATTAAAAAATTGTTAGTTTTTCTGATTTTGGCCAAAGTGCCGGATGAAAAAACATCCATTGTCAAGTAACATTTTTTTTTTCATTTAAAACATTAAAAAACAATACGAATAAAGAAATATTTTATGAACAATTTTCCTACCTAGCATTTGGTGCTGCATTGTAAGCATCTTCAAATACTTCAAACATATCTTGACGGTTTAGAAAGAACTTCCATTGATTTCCCAGCAACCACATCGCTCCCTCCTGGAAAATTACTCTTTTTTCTTTCCAATAGTTCAAAGGTTTTATAGCAACATAATAAAAGAGGCCTATGGCTATCACAAGTAGTATTAACGACAACATGATTATGTCGGGAGAAAAATCTGAAAAGAAATAAATTAATAAATAATAGGAGATGAATACAGGCATATGGTGGTGTGGAAATAGCCAAGTACTCGTATGGAACATTTAGAAACCAAAGTAATGAATACAAATTTTGTTTCTCTGATGATTCTTTTTTATCATATTTCGTTTCTTCAACTATTTTTATTATGTTCTATGGTAGTTTGCTTTTATTTTTTTTGGTTTTATTTTTATTCCGATTTCATTTTTTTTCATCGCTTGATTTTTATTTTCAGTTTTTCTAGTTTCCCTCTTTTAAATGAATTCTTATTTAACGTACAGCACAGAACCCATAGTGTCATCATCTAGTAATTTAAGCATATCAGATATCTACGATAAGAGAATTTCCATCCATTAGCTGATCTTCCTCATCTGATATTACTGTTATGTTAGCTTTGTTTTCGTAAAAAAGTCTGGTAAATATTGCTGCTATTTGATTGGGATCTACTGTTCTTTTGATATTATCTATAATTAATATATAGCAGAAGAGATAGAGGCACAGTGATCACACTTTTCCAAAACATAACCCATCCTTTTTATCAGGTATTATACATCTAAAATTTCTACGTTATTATCAACTATGGTCTAATCGTTATTATATAACACAAAAAAGGCTCATAGAATTCTGCCAAGAAAAGAATATGGTAATTGCCAATACTTGGTTTCACATACAGAAAACCACATTGTCAGAAACCAGATAGACTTTACACTCGTAAATAGCAGATATAAAAACAGCAGTTAAAACTTATCCTAGAGCAGATGTTAACTCAGACCACAGTCCGTTAGTTGTTGACGTGAAAATAAAGTTAAAAAAATTGAACTCAGAAAACAACAACCAAAAATTAATGTAATAATGCTAAAAAACGATTAAATAAAACGCGAATCATAAAATAATGTGAATGTTAATATGCAAAAAACACTAACTGACAACAAACAAATTATGGCTGTAAATAAAAAGTGGTATAATATAAAAAAACACATTACCGAAACCAGCTCAAGAAAGTTTGATACAACATAGGTCAGAGGCTAAAAATCAGTGGGTGACAGAAGAAATACTATTACAGATGGAAGAAAGAAGGAAATATAAAGGAAAAGATCTACAGAAGTATAAAGAAATACAACGAATAATTAAGAAAAAAATGAAAACAGCTAAAAAAAATCTATTTGATGAAACAATGTAAAGAGATAGAAGAACTACAATCAAAATATGATATGAGAAATATGTACAAAAAAATAAGAGAAGTGACAGCAAGGACACATAAAAGACAAATAAGGAGTACTACTAATAGATTTACCAGAGAAATTAAGACGATGGGAGGTGAAATGCAGAAAATACAAGAATTGAATCCTTTAGAGAAACAGAAGATCAGCAGGGTTACATAAAATACCGTAAAATGCAGTAGAACTATTTAAAGTAGTAGAAGAGGATAACTTTATACAGTCTTTGAGAATATAACACAAAGACTGTATAAAGAAACATAAGTGCAAATAAAGTTATTTACTGAAATAACAAAAACAATCACCGCAACAAAAGGCCTCAAACAGGGATGTTGTCTCTCACCTACACTTTTTAACATATATATATATATATATATATATATATATATATATATATATATATATATATATATATATATAATAAAGTATTCAACTAGTGAATTCAGAGGTTTATTCGGTCAGTCAGGTTGGCAAAATAAAAAACAGAAGTCAACTACTTCATAAGTTTATCGAAGACGTTTCGCTCTATATTTCTAAAGCTTCATCAGTTCTCTAAAATACAAAGGTGACCTAGAGTTTATAAGAAATACAGATCTAATAATTTATTACTTACAACTCAATATGTAGTATTAAAGATGTAAACGTATATGTACTTAAGTTTACTCATCAAAATAACCATCAAAAACGCTCCTTTATTGAAATGTGTGAGATCCTAAAAAACCCATCTGCAATAAACAAAAGAACCGACATTGACAATTTGAGCCAGGTTTACCACTCTCTCATCTTACGAAATAAATGATAACAATATTCATAATTTAAAATAGCCGGATTTTCCATTCAAAACAATAACATAATCATCCCAAAGCTCTAAGTTTCATTAAAACATAAATTACAAAAAAAAAATCATATCAAATTTTTCCGTTACAAATCCACCCGTCCAACTATTCTTTCAATGACCCCCGTAGAAGTTCATAATTGTCTCAAACCTTGGAATTTGTTGAACATATGGCCCTTGAAAAACATTTTCGGTATCGCGCCTCGTCCTTTTGCGTAGATTGCAATAAATCAGTGTTTTGTTTGTCTTCATTGGAGAACCATCTCTAAATGAAGCCAAATGTACGTTTAAAGTTTTTGTAAATCTTCGTTTCTGCGAATGTTATTTTTTGCATATTTCTGTTTAATTTTTTTTTTTAAGTTAGTTCTAAATTTATGAGTAAACTTAAGTACATATACGTTTACATCTTTAATACTACATATTGAGTTGTAAGTAATAAATTATTAGATCTGTATTTCTTATAAACTCTAGGTCACCTTTGTATTTTAGAGAACTGATGAAGCTTTAGAAATATAGAGCGAAACGTCTTGGATAAACTTGAAGTAGTTGACTTCTGTTTTTTATTTTGCCAACCTGACTGACCGAATAAACCTCTGAATTCACTAGTTGAATACTTTATTAATATATATATATATATATATATATATATATATATATATATATATATATATATATATATATATATATATATATATATATATATATATATATAGATCAGGCTTTAAAAGATGGTATAGAAAATGCGGAACAATGGGTATACCAGTACAAGAGAATATATTACATTCACTACTATTCGCAGATGATAAGTCATTTTTGCACAAGACAGGGAGGATATGGAATATATGATAAGGGAATTAAAGAAAGAATATGAACTTTGGGGACTCAAGATAAATATATGCAGTACCGAATACTTATGTATTGGACCCGAGGTTGCAGATTTAAACTTTTAGAAGAAGAGACTATCAAGAGTTGTAAGACTTTACTATTTAGGACTAATGATTAGCCGAGATAGTACTTGTATGAAATATATAGAAATGAAAATAGCACGGGAAAAACAAGTCACAAGAGCACTTCATGGAGTGATATGGAACAACACTCTAACCAAAGAAAACAAAAAGAGGATTTTTCAAAGCATAGTTATGAATATTACCCTATATGGAGCGGAAGTATGGCCAATGACAATAACAATACAAAATAAAATAGGAATAGTTGAACTGGACTTTATGAGAAGATGTCTACAAATCACAAGAGCGAATATAATAAGAACGGAGGATGGAACAGAATGGAAGTAGAATGCTCAATTACAAAAAAGTTGGAAAACAGAGCCCTGCAGTGGTACGGGCATGTACAAAGAGTGCCAGAGCATAGGTGGCCGAAAAGAATATTAAATTGGGATCCGCCGGGAAAAAGACGGAAAGGAAGACCTGCTATAAGATGGAAAACATACGTCGGAAATGCTATGATAGATAGAGACCTCAGAAAAGGGGACTGGGAGAATAAAAGTGCTGTGGAGGACGAAAAAAAGAAGAAGAAGAGGATAACTTGGAAGTATTGGTAGAGAAGACCACAAAATATACATCACCTATTGATAATCAATCGTAACGTGATAGTACAAGTAGATAAATATCAATACTTGGGAACTTTGATGAATAAAACCAATGATGATACTGCAGAAATAAACAGGCGAATAGAGATTGCCAGATCAACATTTATACGAAGGAAGCCACTACTAACGTACAAAAATCTAAATTTGGAAATCAGACTACGTACCATTCGCTGTTATATATTTTCAATATTATTCTATAGCTGAGACTTGGACATTAAAAAAATACAATTTAAAAATATACTGACTGATAGAATTACAAATAAAGAAGTACTGGAGAGAGTTTGTAAAAAAACAGAACTAATCACCACTATACAAACCAGAAATCTGTAATACCTAGTCCACGTGATGAGGGAACCAAAATATGACTCTTAATACAGGGAAAGATTCAAGGAAGATCTGTTGGCCGAAGGTAGAATTCATGGTTGAAGAATCTACGTGATTGGTATCAATGCAGATCAATTGATTTGTTTAGAGCAGCAAGTTCTAAAATAAAAATAGCCATTATGATTGCCTACCTCCGCAGGAAGACGGCACTTTCTCCTGGTACTGAATTTCGTCCATCATAACAGTTGCATTACCCTTGTGAGTTGGTGGTATTATTATAGACTTATCTTCTTTTAGAGCTTTAAATTTTTCTTTACTAATATTTGCTTTTGTTTTTGTTTTTTTAGGTTAAATTTTGCACAGTATTCTGTTATCTTTCCATTTCATGTATTGCTAGTTGTTTACAGACTTTTTTAATAGTATTGATTATATCTAGTTTGAGAAGTGATAGCAGAAGGCAGTACATTTACCATTGTATTGGCAATATCCTTAACTTATGCTGAGCAGTGTATTAATTCTTCATTATTTCAACTAATCTAAGTTAACATTCGTGTTTCAACTAATTGTTTTCATATATGCACATTTTCTCTCATCATTGAACATGAATTACCCCCTCTGTGGCTCAGTGGTATGAACGCCTACCTTTGAACCTAAAGATCGTGAGTTCGGATCTCACCTGGGTGGAGAAATTTTCGTTTATTAAAAATTAATGAATGAAAATAATTTCTATCCTTGTGCGATCGGTACTCACCGGAGGGACCGCAGACGCTCGGATACAATTAGCGTCTCTTAGCAAAGACAATGACGTCGACTTTGCTAAGTAACAAGACAATTACTCTACACACACACTCTACACTAGGTACCTGACTGAAAAAATTCACTGTACCATGCCAATGACCATTAGTTGTCGACGCATTAAACTCAATAAAAAAAAATAAACATGAATTATTTGATTTTTGTGTTCATTTCCGATATTTGTTTCTGTTTCGCATTTCACTTTAACTTAAAACACAAACAACTGATGTTTTGGCACACTTCCTCACTATTTCTTACCTTGTTGGCCTCACATTCACGTATTTATGCGTTTTATCTAAAAAATCGCGTCTATTTGAGATCAACTGTGTCTACTTTGACATGCAACATCAATTAAATTATATATATTGAAATACTTGTCTTAACTAAACAAGTAGTACATTAATCAATTAATTAGTTTAGATTACTATCATCGATTTAGAGTCCTAGTCGATGTTTGCTAACTGATCTCCAATGATGCTGTTTAATGAATGCAACAAGAAGTAAATTGTATACATTATATCAAAGACTTACCTTAATCAAATAAATAACAATACATCAGTCGACTATTCACTTTAGATTACTAGCAACCGACCTCTAATGCTGTCAATGTCATTAAAAAAAAATCCTGAGATAAGATAAACAAATTCACGAGATATTTTATAGAAAAACTATATGAACAATAATAAATGACTGTAGTGAACGATGCTTGTTTGTAATATTAATGCGTTTAAATAAAAAAATTACAAAGGTCAGTTGAATAATTGTAGGCAACACAGGCGTACCAAGATGTATTTTTTTTTATTTATTTTTCATTTTTTAAGTGTCTTGGAGTTAGCACTTTTTCCGCTTAAAAAATATTTTAATTTTTATAATCCTGTGTCATTACACAAATTTACTGGATAGTGTGTATAGCAGACTTAAACCTTAATCCGAATCATGGTTATTTTAGTGCTAGTGCGAAACATACAGGATGTTTCAAAAAGGTATGTCATAAATCACGCATTCCGGGGATAAAAATAAATTGATTGAATCCAACTTACCTTTGTACAAAAGTGTACACAAAAAAAGTTACAGCTCTTTGTAGTTACAAAATAAAAATTGCTTTTTTTTGCATTATCTTCTAAACTACTTGACATTTTGTAATAAAAATGGACACTTTACTTTCTTGTTCTGAAAGCATTGTTCACAAACAAGAAACAACAGAATCTAAGGACACAGAAAAATTTTAAGGGAGGTGTGCAACGCTGAATCCGCCCAGACTTTTAAGTACGTTCAAATCAAATGAATTTTGTGGCATCATTAGAGTAACACATTATTTTTAAAAAAATTTTGCCTCCTATCACTTTTTTCAAAAAACAGTTTTTATTGAGTTACGGCCCTTTTCATTAACCTTTCAAAAATTACGTGCAACTAAATAAATGACAAACGAATTAACAAGTACAAAAAATGTCTATAACATCTATAAATATGATATTACAATAAATGTTCAAAATGACCCCCATTTTCTTCAATACACATTCGGTATCGTTCTAATAAGGAAAACCGAATGCGCTGAAAAGTCATATTTTTTCTGACGAAATTGATTCGCAGCTTCAATTATTCTAACCCTCAATTGTTATTAGTCCTTTATTTTTACAGAATACACTTTCTCTTTCATAAACCTTCAAAAGCAAAAGTCCATAGGGTTAAGACCTGGACTTCTGAGTGGCCAAGAAATAAGTGCGTCACGACCTCTTCCAATCCACCGACCAGGATACTGCCTGCAAAGGTATTTCATTACTGTAATGCGGTGGAGCGCCATCTTGTAGAAACCACATATTTTCTCCTATTGCAATCTTCACTTCTTCCAAATACTCTTGTAAATCGTTTGCCAAGAACTGCACATATTTATCACCATTTAAATTGTTGGGAAGAAATACTGGGCCTATTAGATTGTTATCCACATTTCCTGCCCAAACATTAACTTTGAAAGTCTTTTGGTGATGAGTCGTTTTTTTGACGCGAGGATTTTCGTCGGCCCAAATGTGCTCGTTATGATGGATTGTTATTGAATTTCTACGTAAGGTAGCCTTGTCGGTAAACAAAATATTTCCAATAAAATTTCATAATAACATGTCAAGTGTTTTCCATTAACAACCAATTGGAAAATCCAATCCTTTTAGGATAATCTTCAACTAATAACTCTTGAACCGTTGTTAAGTGATAGAGTTTAAGCAGCTGATCCTTTAAACGCCTCCAAACCCTTATGTGAGGAACATCTAGTTGAGCAGCTATTACCTTTTTATTTGTTCCAGGGACTTCTTCAATGATGTCTAAAATGTTTTCATCAGTTGCATCCATTATTGCACGACCACTATCGCCAGCAACTTGCGCTTGGAATGTACCCGTTTCCCATAACCGACGATCAATGTCCAGAAATAATCGTCTATTGGGTGTATTTAGATTGGGGTATTTTACTGCATAACGTCTTGCGGCTGCTGCACTATTTCCTTGACATTCACCTACGATATTCCCGATAGTTTATTGAAACCATAATTTAATCTGATCCAACTTACTCAAAGTTAAATGCATATTTGACATTTCTTGAAATGTGTAGGCCATTGTACTATCAAAACTTTTTATATTAATCTTATTCACACACTAAATGATAGCTTAAAATTATTGATTATTATTGATGGAACTGTTTGTAATTATTGTATTCGTAGAAACTAATTGTACTTTTATGGCCAACTAAAGATTCCTAAAAAAGGACTAAGGGAGTTTGAAAACATAACAGGACCCACCAACTTAATAAAATACGAAATAACATTGAAGAAGAAGTGCGATCCAATCAAACAGCCTTATAGGCGGCACAATCCCGCAATGCTACAGATCATTAACCAAGAAGTGGACAAGCTGTTAAAAGAAGGATGTCAAAATATTCGGTTGTGCAGATTCACGTCATACTCTGAGTCAGAGTTGACGGTAACGTTCAATTCACGATACCCATGGGTTCTGCTTGATTAAAGACAGAGTATAATCCTCACTGCGGAAGTCTCTCTGTCCGGGTTGGCTCGCAGATTCAATACACTAGCGAGCCAGGAAGCCTAGAGCGTTAGCCACCAAACTTCTTTAATTCCGCCAGTCGCTCGCCCTAAATAGCCGCTCCGGACAGAACCTCGTCGTCTCGTCGTGGAAATAGATGCGTGATTATCGACACTCACACGGTTCAGTCAACTGTTGAATGTTCAGCACATCGTTACAGTGCCATATATCTCACACTACTGGTTACAAAACGAATCAGTGTCGAATTCTCTAATAAAAATGCTATTTCAAGATTCTCCCGATCCGACATCGGGCTACGTCGGCCGACGTCGGATTGAAAACAAACTCAAGGTATTGAATCATAGTGCCTATACTACTTCCGTGACGAAGCAGTATAGGCACTATAGCGTGTTTTGGAAAATTTATTCAGAATATAAGTTCAACAAAAGCAGCGATAAAACACATCCCCGTCTAACACATCTACAGATCTTCATTTCTTCTGAATGTTGCCCATAAATTTGAACTATGGCACCTTGGTTCCAATATAATGTTTGCACAAAAAAAGAGAATTTAAGCAAAAGCAGTTGGAAAGCACAGAATGGCTAAGAAATCAAAATGAAACTCGAAAGTTCTACAGAAATCTAAACAAAATGCGCAAAGAGTTTAAGCTAAGAATAAGGAGCTGTAAGGATGTAGAAGGAAACATCCTAAATGATACGGCCTCAATCCTAAACAGATGGGTTGAATTTTTCGATGCAAAATTTAATAGCCATCATATCAAAGAAGCAGATAACACCCTAGCAAATCGAAATGATTGGAATCCTTTCAACCCAAACGAAAGACCACCTACCATCGAAAACGTTGCCCAAGCCATTAAAAAGCTTAAAAATAATAAATCACCAGGAGTTGATTTGCACCTGTGATTTACACCAAATTTGCAGTGAGCTCTACAAGAATGGTGGCGATGCCCTACTACAGACACTGCATAAGCTTTTACTTCTTGTTTGGCATAATGAGACCATGCCTTGTGAATGGTCTCAAGGCGTGATTTGCCCGTTACATTGGTAAATATCAAGCTGGATTTACTCCAGAAAAATTAACAATTGACCAGTTTCATTCAATAAGACAGATTCTCGATAAAACATTAGAATTCAATATTGAAACCCATCACCTATTCGTCGACTTCAAGGCCGCATACGACAGTGTCAAGAGAACAGTGCTATACCAATCAATGCATGAGTTTGGTATACCAGACAAACTTATCCGACTAACGAGAATGACAATGTCTAACTTAGAAGCCACTGTTAGAATACAGGGAGAGAGTTCTAGATCCTTTGAGATAAAGGATGGACTCAGACAAGGAGATGCTGTGGCTTGCCTCCTACTTAATATTGCCTTAGAAAAGGCAGGCCGAGATACACGAATTAGGGATGGCGGTACTATTTACAATAGATCGATACAAGTCTTAGCATATGCTGATAACATTGACATAGTAGGGCGTAGCAAGCGAGATGTTGAGCAATATCTCCTAGAATTGGAAACAGCGGCGAAACAGGTCGGTCTAGTCATCAACGAAGACAAAACCAAGTACATGTTGGTTACAAAGGATACGATAGCAAATGAGGAACGAGAAACAGTCTTTGAAAGTCATACCTTTGGACGTGTTGACAACTTCACATACCTGGGGTCGCTATTGACTGCTACCAATAAAACAAGCGAAGAAATCAAAAAACAAATAAATCTTACAAGTAGGGCATACTATGGACTCCAAAAGCATTTCCACTCAAGAAACATTCAAAGAAGAACTAAAATTATTATATACAAAACATTGCTGAGGCCGGTCCTCACATATGGAGCAGAAACATGGACTCTAACGCAGAAAGATGAAAGACTTTTGGGAATATTTGAGCGTAAAATACTCCGCAAAATATTTGGAGCTGTAAACGATCAAGGGCAGTGGCGCAGAAGATATAATTTTGAATTGTATCAGCTCTTTGATGAGCCAGATGTCATAACGTTCATTAAAACACAGCGACTTAGATGGGCTAGACACATAATACGAATGCCAGAAAATACCATTGCTAAAAAGCTAACCACAGGAACACCTGTAGGAAAAAGAAGCAAAGGTCGACCGCGAATTAGGTGGTTAGATGGAGTGGAAACCGACTTAGGAATATTAAAAATCAAAAGATGTCAACATGTTGCCAAAAACCGAACAGAATGGCGACGAATCTTAGAGCAGGCTAAGATCCACAGAGGATTGTCGAGCCAAAGATGATGATGATAATGTTTGCACTAATTTTACTGCCAATGCGCTTGTTTATAAGTATTGATATTAGTTTTTCATGTCTTACTTTATCAAAAGCTTTTTCGTAGTCAATAAAGCACAAGTGTAGATCAATGTTTAGATTCCGACATCGCTGAATCAATATGTTGATGGCAAATATTTTCTTTAAAATACACGCAGTCAATTACGCGATTTTTCACTGAAATTAACAATTCTTTGTCGTACAAACTATTAATTAATTAAAAAAAAATAGACTGAGGACATTCTAATATTCTGGAAGATAGTATGTTTGTTGAAAACAATTTCAAAAAATCATTTAGAACTCATCTGAAGGATAATAAGTCGAGGTGTCTATGAAGTTAAAAATAATGGGGATTTAACCATATATCCGGTCCCTAATCATTATTTAATTTATAATTCAATTTGGAGCGCCACTCTCACACCACCCGCTGTTTCTTAAGTGCATCTGCAGGAAACAATTGAATAAAGAAATTTTTCTCAATTTCTCTACTTTCCTTGTTTCTTATTCTATCATCTTTTATACTTTATTTTTTTCAACATCTCAGCTCTTCTTATATAAAAATAAAACAAAACTTTTACAAGCATCTTAAAGAATTGAATTTATTTTCATCATTTTATGTAAGTACAGTAAAATAAACTAAGTTTTGGTTTTTTTATGTAAAATTATAAATAAAGATAAATTTTGAGTAAAATATGATAACTGTTGTTAAAGTCTTTTTAAACCCAATCTCATACCATCAGCAGGCAGTAAATTAAAATTTCCTTTCGTTAACTGAGGAGGAATACAGGTAACCGCAATTGGTACTATCTCAAAGTGCTGCAAAAGATGAGAAAATAATACCTTTATTTCAAGCAAGGCAAATCTGGCTCCTATGCAATTCCTCGGACCTAACCCGAAGGGAAAATACGTATATTCCTTGATTTTATCCTTGTTTTCGTCGCTAAATCGTTCGGGGTCGAACTGTTCTGGGTCCGGAAAGTATTTAGAATCGTGGTGGATCGACATAAGTGGAAGAATAATAATTGATCCTTTTTCGACGACTAAGGGTTCCTCATGTGGATTTTCGGGTTGTATGATGTATTCTTTGTTGCATTCTCTGTCAATACCGGGAAAAGCTGGCCACTTTCTTAAGCATTCTGAAAAAAAGATAATTTTTGTTTTAATAAAGTGACAAAAAAAAGGTTTCGTAAGGTGACAAAAATCTATCTCTCAGAAAGACCATATTATTCAGTTGACGAGTTTCTTAATGTATAACAAAGAAACAAAATTAGTATTGTTTATAATTACATTTGGGTGTCTCAAGCAGTGGCTACAATTTGTCTCATTTGTTGTTGTCTGTACAAATTATGTAGGTTATACAATAATTTTACTAATTTAAAATTGTGTAAAAATATTATAATATTCTTTTCATTAACATTTCAAAAAGATAAAAAAATTAAATCTCGCATCAAAGTTTTTGTAAAAAATACGTTGTTATAGGTAATAAAAAACCCTACAATATGAAAAAAAAAATTCTGCGATAATTAGAACCAGAGATGTTACTAAAAAACGAAAACACACGTTATAATTTTTTTTTAGGTTATGTTTGGGTCTAGAACATCGAGCAAAAAGACACAAGAGGGAATCTAATCCTTATGAAAGGGAGACCAAAAAAGTGGCCTCTGATGGCGGACATATCCGGAAATGCGAATGCGCCAAATTTAAATTTTCCGACACTCATTAACAGTAGCTATATAATATTTTTCATAATGTGTCTTAGACGAGAAAGTTTTAATTAATTATTAACGATAATAGTCTAAAATACGACACAATTGTTAAAAAACTTCAATACAAATAAGATTTCATGTGACATTTGGGACAAACAATAACATAACCCAACTAAATTTGATGTCAAACAAGCAGAGAAAGACTCCCTTTTCTTGTTTAATGTGGCCTCTACAGATCGCACTTCTTGTCTAACAATATTTTTGCCCCCACTACCTTTACATTCCCTCTTTTGTATTTTTGCTCGATGGTCTAGAAGTCTAAATATTTGTTTGGTATAGTACTTTTTGTTTTAGAACACAATAGTTTCTAGAGCGAAAATGATTTTTCGTTATTTTGATCATGATGCTCCACCTATAAAAATTTCCCCCCACTCGGCCGCCAAAAATGTTGTAAAAAATACCATGATGAAGACAAAATATCCTACAAACTGAAAAAAAGAATGAGTTTGTACGATGGTTAGAGCCGAAGATATGAAAAAAAAATATGTTTTAATTTTTTTAAGTTATGTTTGGGTCTAGGGGTCTAATTTTTTTTTGGTCAGATAAAAGGTGAGATCAAATAAATATAAGGTATCAAAAATTGGCAAGAAAACGGTGCATAATATAATCATCTTACCTGAAATAACCATATCCAAATACTTCATCGTCATCAACACTTGGTACGTCATTTTCCCTTTACATTCTTCAAATCCTCGATTAATTTCTTCTCTTAATATGGTTTGAATATCTGGATGGGTTGCTAACTCGTATGCAACGAAGCACATAGTGCTGGAAACCGGATCAAAACCACCGATGAAAAAGAACAAGGAGTTTGAGATAATGTCTTCATTTGTGATGTTTGTGTGAGCTTGTTTTTCTGAAATATACAAGAATACATTAAGGCTCTGACGTGATTGTCGAGTATCTTACCTCTGGTATATTCTTGAAATGTCGAATAGTCAGTTTCAATGGCTGACTGTTTATCTTTGTTCTGCATACCTCTCTTTGCTTCGATTAGAAGATTCAACATATCAGTTCTAACGATATTTTCTTCTGTCCTTACTTTTACGATATTTTCAATAAGATCGACAAAGAATTGTCTCGAAGGACCATCAAGGAAATTAACTTTTAGGAGCTTAAACAATAATCTAAATCATTATGGATCTTTTTATGTATTAATAATATTTTTTCTACTTTTTTATATCTAAACATAAGGCTAAATATTATACAAATAACAAAAGCTAATTACCTTAAAAATTTTTGGAATTGTTACAAATCCCATTAACTTGACATTTCTTCGGAAAGTAGAAAAGTTCGAGATTTCTTTTCCCATTAAATAGAATTCATTATTGCGGTTCTCCAAAGAATCTGTATGTATTCCAAAAGCAACAGAAGCTATAATATCGTTGGCATAACGAGTGGACAAGTCTTTAAATGCAACTTTAGTGATTTCTTGATTTTTCTTCAAGAAATGTTTTACCAGATTCTCAGAGCACTCTGTCATCAGATGGAACATCACCTTTATTTTGCTGCTGGTGAATAAAGGACTTAGTACCGCTCTCATTTCTTTCCATTTTTGATCTACAAAAAATGTGGCATAAAAAATAAGAAAAATGTTTAATAATTTTATTATAATTTAATAGAAACGTTTAAAATAATCTATTACCTCTTAATGAAAGAAGATTCTTTGACCAGAGTGGATCAGCACCTTGTGGTATAAAAGATCTATGGTTAACAAAATGGTCAAAATGCTTAACTGTTATCTGTTTTAATAGCTGTGGATCCTTTATCATCAGACAGGGTGTTGTATATTTATAAAATCCTATATATCTGTAACAAAAATTTTACATTAACAAATACTTTCCTCATTCACAGTTCGGGAGAGACGTCGTCATATGTTATAAGAACATCCATTCCTAGTTCAGTTTTTTTCCTTTAATTTTTTAAACAAATAAAAAATACTTGATGAATATTTTTTTACCTAGCGTTTGGTGCCATATTGTAAGCATTTTCCAGCACTTCAAACATGTTTTCACGTCTTAGAAATAATTTCCATTGATTTCCCAGCAACCATATTGCTCCCTCCTGGAAAATGACTCCTCTTTTCTTCCAGTAACTCAATGGTTTGATAGCAGTACAATAAAAGAGGACTACTGTTATCAACAATAATATTAACGACAACATGATTAATTTTGTACCCTGAAAAAAGAATAATTAAAACAAATTGTGACGATTAAACTAACGTAATGGATAACATTTACTTTTTTGACTACGGAACATTGCTATAAATAATGTGTATATCTGTTCAATGTAGAAACATTATTAAAATCGAAATCCTCTTTTCTCAGTTGTGCTTGATAAAAATTTATTAATATTTTTATAAGCGGTAGAAAAATACAATGCCTGCATCAAATATTTATTTTATGGTTGATTTAAACAATTTAAATTTCCAAACCGTATAAAAAAAATACTTAAATAAGGAACTTTAATACATAGACCATCTCAACAGACAGAAAGAATTCGGAGCATTCTATAAAAAAGTTAACATCGACAGAAAATAATTCAAGGCAACCACAAGACGATGCAGAAGTCAGAATGGCGACCTATTAACAACAAGGAAAGATGTATTGTATGTAAAAATTTTGGTGGGATAAAGGAGGCTAATGGGAAATGGCGAAGAAGATTAAATCAGGAGTTAATGGAGATTTATAATAGGATCCAAAATAACGCAAAAAATCAGAGCATACAAAATTAGACGGTTTGGATATGTTTTACAAATGCCTAAAACGAAACGTCCTTAGAGTTCTACAAGCAGGAAACAATTGAAGCAATGAAGATGGAGACCACGAATGTAGTGGTTTGGTGCCATCAGGACCGACATAGAAGAAATGGGAACAAGAGACTGGAAAGTATAAGTGAACTTCCGTAGAAATTGGAAATTACTATTCAATACTATCGAATGCAAGGGCCTCTAGGGTCTGTAGTGCTGTCATTACCTTATAATTTTAAATTCATGTAGGTGTATCTTTTATCTTACCTATTTAATACAAATTTTGTCTATTGTGATATGCAACATAAAATAAATTGTGTATTTTAAAATCTATAAGACTTACCTTAACTAAACAAGTGACAGTACATCATTCAACTAATCACTTTCTAATATTAATTCGGCCTCGAAACTTATTAATGCTATTCGAAAAACATTAGAAAGAAATTTAACGTGGATCACATAAAAATAGTTTACTTATATCATTAACACAGGAATATTGGCAACGGATTATTATAATTAGTTTACACCAAAATGATCAATGGTCAATTATGTACTTCTATAATCTGTAATCATTATACTGTTATTGATACATATTGTAACCTGAAAACTGCATTTATAATGTTTGGTTTTACAAGGGCCTTCCTGGGTAATTGTTGTAGTATCTCTCCTGTTAAACGCTTTCTTCTTCTTCTGGTAGCACTACAACCCGGGGTTTGTCTTAGCTGACTGCACAATAGTGCACAACCTGCTTCCATCTCGAACGGTCGTCCATGATGTTTAAGTCAGTGGGTAGCCCCATTGTTCTCAAATCTGACCATATATTATCTCTCCATCGCATTCGTGGACGTCCTAAGGGTCTTCTCCCTGTCGGGACTTCTTCCCAGATTAATTTGGTAAGGCGGTTATTAAGGATCCTATGAACATGGCCAGCCCATCTTAGACGTTGGGATTTAATCTCTTGGACTACGTCGCTAGCACTATACATTTGTTTGACCTCGGCATTTGTTCTCATTCGGTATTGGTTAGTATTCGGATCGTGATAGGGACCGAAGATCTTTCTGAAGATTTTTCTCTCAAAGCATCTGAGTTTACTTTCCATTGCTTTTGTCAGCGCCCACGTCTCACACCCATACATGAGCACCGGTCTAATTACTGTTTAATATATCCTGATTTTTGATGTTAGTGTTAGGCTCTTGGATTTAATAGTGTTGTGGAGGCTATACATACTTCTGTTTGCTGCCTGAATTCTCCCTTTTATCTCTTCCGTGATATCGTTATCTGTGGTGATAGTCACTCCGAGATATTTAAAACTCTCCACTCTTTCAAATTTATAGGGGTCTTTTGTTACATTTTGTCCTATTCTATCTCGTCTCCTTTGTCTGTTAATGCACATATATTTGGTTTTCTCTTCATTGACCCTTAGACCGGTATTTTTTGCCTCTTTCTCTAATTTATTGAAGGTTTCTTTTACATTGGTGACGGTATTTCCTACAATGTCAATGTCATCCGCGTATGCTAGTAGTAATTTTGGTCCATTTACTGTTTGTTCTAATTTGTGCGGTTTTTACTACTTTTTCCAGGATTATATTAAAAAGAAGAGGTGGCAGCGCGTCTCTTTGTTTCAGTCCACTGTTTATTTCAAACGACTCTGAGAGCTTGTTACCTATCCGCACGAATGAATGGTTCTATTGAATTCCCATCCTTTTTCAAGCAGCTGCCTGAGAGTAAAAATCTGATCTATGGTCGATCTATTTTTTCTGAATCCGGCTTGGTATTCCCCTATGAAATTTTCTACAAAAGGTGTTAGTCTACTTAATAGGATGTTCGATAAGATTTTGTACGCCGTATTAAGTAGGGAGATGCCTCTATAGTTAGAGCACTTGGTTTTGTCTCCCTTTTTATGGATAGGAATTATTACACTTTCGTACCATTTTGTTGGTATTTTCTCTTCTTTCCATATAAGTGTTATTAGTTTGTGTAATTGTCTATGTAAAGTTTCTCCTCCATACTTAAGAAATTCGGCTGGTATATTGTCAGAGCCTGGAGCTTTTGCGTTCTTCAATTTGTTAATTGCTTGCAATGTTTCGTCTATTTTTGGGTAGTCTACCGGTAGGTCCACCCCAAGGTATATATCCTCTCCATGTTCTTTATCTTGGTGTATATTAAGTAAATTTTTGAAATATTCTGCCATGTTTGGAGTAATTCTTGTTCGTTGATTATTAATTCATCATTATTTATCCTCAGTACAGACATGCAGTTAGGTCTGAATCCTCTCTTTTCGTTTGACACAGATTTGTAAAATGCTCGACTATTTGACTGTTGTCTATTTCTTTCCATTTCTTCATACTGCTGTTGTTCGTATTTTCTTTTTTTCTCTCTAATTAGTTTTCTTGTTTCTCGTCGCGATGTTGTATAGTTTTCTTTACTTTCTGTTGTTTCTTGTTGAAGCATAATGTTTCGCTTTTTCTGTCTGTCTTGTAGTTTTTCTTGGCATTCTTTATCAAACCATTTCCTTGTTTTCGTCCTTCTTTTTCCTATTATTAGTTCTGCTGACTCTGTAATTGATTTTTCCATTTGTTGCCACAGCCTTTCGACATCATTGCTCAGGTCTATTCTATTTAGATGTTGTTCCATTTCCTGTACGTAATTGTCTCGGATTTCCTTATTTTGCGTTTTCTCGATGTTCCACTGTCCCAATGCTTCGTTCGTTTTAAGTTTCTGTGATGATATTCTCAACCTGATTTTTGCACTTACTTAAACGCCTTGTTGAGATTTATGTTGTTTTTGATTAATTTGGTTACTTATTTAGGGAAAGTAGGTGTTATTATTCCTTGATCATTATTGTTCGATATTACTGGTAATCTACAAATTGAAGCGTATACAGATTTGACAGTGTTTTAATTTAGGTTTGGTAGTTCATGGAAACAAATAATATGTAATTAAATTATGTTTTGTTACTATGTACAATGTAACGAAGTACTGTTCTGGAGCGAAGGGATCAGAGTCGAAGTCGTATATCAATTTTATGTGTCCACAAGGAAAAAAATTCCTGTAGCTGGCTGTATACCACGTATCACAAAAAAGAGGTTAGTCTTTGTAAATGGGTATATTTAAAAAACCCTTAAAAGGGCTACATCAATAAAACAAACGTTTTCGGACCACACAGTCCATCATCAGGTTTTAAAATCGAAAAATGCTAGGTCACAATGCCTGAGCCACCAAAATACTAGGGTAAAAACCCTTTAAATTACATTTAGTTATAAAAGATTGTACATTGTGTTGTAAAATAACTGTGATGTTCAGTATTAAATTAAATTTGGCTAGAGGTAACACATGGCTGAAGCGAGTTCCAGAGCCGGTGAGAGAGAACCTCTACACGCGGAGAACAGCTGGGAACTGATTCCCAGCATTTTTCGATTTTAAAACCTGATGATGGACTGTGTGGTCCGAAAACGTTTGTTTTATTGATGTAGCCCTTAAGGGTTTTTTAAATAAATATACCCATTTACAAAGACTAACCCTTTTTTTTTTTAATTTTATGTGTATCTAAAGTTTGTTTCACGAAAAATGGTTGAGTGCTTAATGGTTACCTGAGTTGATCCTATTGTGTTTACAAGAGTCTCTCAATAAACTACCGAAGTACACAGGGTCGTACTTCAGAAAGTTTGTTATTTAATATATTTCATTGGTAGCCGTGTAATACACGATTATAAAAATTTATTAAATTATTTCATATGGTGTTTTCAGGTTGTTTAAGTGAATATACTTGATAATTGAACAATTTTTAACATGAAGAAAGTAGTTTTTTTGTTCTACGTGAATAATTGTAGTATATGGATCTAAATTCAGAAAGGTACTTTCCTTCACACTTTTTACAGGCTTAGGACTGTCAGCAAAAAACTGGCCTGGAGGACTTTCGGCCCTCGTTAATAATGTAATCTTTCATTCTGCGTTTAAATTTTTCAAAAATATTTGTTACTTTTCTCAGGATTCGAAAAAAAAAAGAATGCATTTAAAAAGCATTGGCCCGAAATTTTGCGCCTACGCTCTTGAGCGTAGTAAGTTTTGGAGTATCGGTACTCCAAACTTCTCGCGAAAATATAAAAATTGCAACAGTGACCGTAAGACTACACAAACATACAAAATATATAAAAATCAAAAGAAAAATCAGACAAGGTGACACGTTATCTAGCAATCCATGACAAATCTGGTACCAAGAGAAAATCCAAAAGTCGACTGCATTGACAGAATATTAGTTCACAAATATAGACAACCCACCTCCCACCTCGTAAGTTATATACTTGGAGATCACCAGGAGACCGTCCAAATCGAATAATTAGAAACCAAATTGACTACGTTTTAATAAACAGAAGATTTCGTAACGCTGTCAAAAGAATCGCAGCATATCCAGGTGCTGATATTGCATCCGATCATAATCCGCTAATAGCAGATGTGAGGTTAAAACTAGCAAAAATTAAGAGAACAAATACAAATACCAGCACACCTATAAATACAAGAGAACTGATGAGAGACGAAAATCTGAAGAAGAGTTATGCGAATCAAATTAATGAAATAATGCGAGTAATAGAACAAAATTATGATATCGAAGAGATGGTCAATGATATTAAAGGAATGATTCTGGCAGTAAACAGGGAAGTTAAAACACAGATCAGAAAGATAAAGCATAACGAATGGATGACGGACGAAATTATGGATCTAATGGAAAAGCGAAGGCAACATAAACAACAACGTAATCAAGACAAATACAAACAGATACACAAAGAAATCCATCAGAAAATTAAGAAAGCAAAAGAACGTTGGATGGTGGAAAGGTGCAACGAAATAGAACAATTGCAGGAAAAAGGAGATAGTTTTGGACTACATAAGAAGATCAAAGAAATATCGAATATACACAAAAGCCACCACAGAACAAGAATACGCAACGACAGAAACGAATACATAGAGTCAGAAGAAGAGATAGCAATGGCGTGGAAAGAATACGCAGAAAGCCTTTTTAATGACGAAAGACCAACACAACCAACGCGCAAACTTCCTTCCGAAAACTTATCAGGGCCATCAATAATGCGAAGTGAAATAGAATATGCAGTTAGAACCACAAAGATGCATAAAGCAACAGGTCCAGATGAAATTAATATAGAAGCAATAAAACTACTAGACGAGGAGAATATCGAAATCTTGGACAGGCTGTTCAATAGAATTTATGATACTGGTTACATTCCGCGAGAATGGCTGCAGTCATCCTTTGTGATGATCCCAAAAACAGCTAATGCCACAAAATGCAATGAACACCGCTTAATCAGTTTAATGAGTCACTTATTGAAACTCTTCCTTAGGATATTACACTCAAGAATGTATAAGATACTAGAAGAACTTAGCGGGTCAACACAATTCGGTTTTAAGGGAGGACTAGGAACAAGAGAGGCAATTTTATGTTTGAACACCTTAATACAAAACTGCTTAGATCAACTAAAAGATGTCTACCTCACCTTCATCGACTACGAGAAGGCATTTGACAATGTTAAACATGATATCATGATGGAACTACTACATAGGGCCAACATTGACCAGAAGGAGATCAGAATTATTCAGAATCTATACTGGAACTAAATGGCAAAGGTGAGGATTGATCAAGACCAATATACGGATGAATTTGAAATCCGGAAAGGTGTCCGCCAATGCTGCATACTCTCTCCGATGCTTTTTAATTTATATTATGAAAATATATTTGCGAAAGCATTAGAAGATACGGAATTAGGCATTAAGGTGAACGGCATACCAATTAGCAACCTACGCTATGCGGACAACACAGTGATTATAACTGATAATTTGGAAGATCAGCAGTTATTACTTGATAGGGTGAATAGCATAGGTAAAAAATATGGCCTCAAAATCAACATTTTGGAAACGAAATACATGGTCATTAGCAGAAACCCTCCAGAAAACCCGATATTATGCATAGGTGACAATCGTATAAATCGCGTGAAAAATTTTAAATACCTTGGCACCACAATCAATGACCAATCGGATCCACAACACGAGATAAAAACCCGAATACAAATGGCAAGACAAGCTTTTGTGAAATTCAGACCGCTCCTATGTAATCAACACCTAAACTACGAAATACGCTACAGAATGGTCAAGTGCTACATATGGTCCATCGTGCTTTATGGCATGGAAACGTGGAAAAAAACATCTATCAACAAACTTGAAGCATTTGAAATGTGGTCATTGAGAAGAATGATGCGCATACCTTGGGTGGATAGAGTTCGAAACGATGACGTCCTTAATAGAGCCGGCGTGGAAAGAGAACTCTTTGAATTAATTAAAAAACGCAAGATTGGTTACCTTGGGCACATATTGAGAGGAGCAAAATATGAAATACCACAGTTAATCCTACAAGGGAAGATCGAAGGTAGGAGAGGAGCCGGCCGCAAACAATTGTCCTGGTTAAGGAATATTAAAGAATGGACAGGAATACACAATACAGGTGAGCTGTGTCACGCCGCCAAGAACAGAATTCTAGTAATGAGATAGTCGCCTACGTACTTTGGTGTATGGCATGTTAAGAAGAAGAAGAAGACAATCAAACTGCTAAACTGCAAAGTAGGATCACTTTAGCATGGGCCACTTATATAGCCCTATCAGGTATCTTCAAGATCAACATACCAAATTATTTAAACAATAAGAGGTTCGATCAATGTGTGCTTCACAGCAACGAATGGCTCAAGGAAGAATGAAACGATCGTTACTTGGACTAACTCTTAGAGACAGGGCCAGAATGATTGAGCCCACAAAAGAAGTAGAGATACACGATAGACAGACGACGTCAAAAAAAGGCTTGGAAGTGGCTGCTGGAATCTCAAGACCGACAAAACTGGAAGAAATTTCTAGAGGCCTTTGTTCACGTTTGCACGCAGAAGGCTGGATGATGAGAAAAGATGAGTATGTATAATTCATTGTCAAGTTCGATATCCATTCTATGTACCCCCTCTTTTCCAGTTTTTAGGAGGTTCTACAAAAAACGTCTTAAATAGAATTGGTGATATACAACGACATTTTTGTCAATATATTTTAAATCAGAATGTCTATTTTATTTTGAATTAAAAGTCTTTATACAGTTCTTGTAAAACGCTTACTTTACTGTTAGATAATTCCTGTTAGACTGTTAGAAAGTTTCCACATTTTTTTATATCTGTTATCTGTTATCTTCCTGAGAGTGTATCTCAGGAAGATCTATATGTTTAAAATCATATTAAACGTAGTTTCAATAATGTGTTAAATATTAATATTTTCTTCTCTTGGCAGAATGGGATTAGGATATTGCCTCTTCCGTTTCTTACTCCCAGTTCATGTTTACCAAAACTGTCATCGCAGCTTCCCTTGCCTACTTCTGCACTGAAGTCAAATATAAAAGATAAAACCCTCTTGTTAATTTGATTTTGATTGACATTTTGATTTCATACAGAGGGACTAACTGAAACTGCCTGGAGTAATTACATAATAAGATGCAAAGGAGAAATTCTGCCTGCAGGAATCTTCTTCTTCTTTCAGTGCCTATTCGTTCCGAATATTGGCAATCATTCTGGCTATAATTATTTTATTAACTGATGCTTTAAATAGATTTGTTGTTGTTGTGGAGAACCATTTCCTCAGGTTCTTCAACCATGATATTCTCCTTCTCCCAATTCCTCGCTTTCCGAATACTTTACCCTGTAGGATTACCTTTAGTAATCTGTATTTAGTGCTGTTTCTCATTATATTTCCGAGATATTCCAACTTTCTCCTTTTAATGGTATACATCACCTCTCTTTCTTTGCCCACTCTTCGTAATACGGTCTCGTTGGTTATCTTGTCTGTCCATGATATCCTTAGAATTCGCCTGTATAGCCACATCTCGAAGGCTTCAAGTTTTTTCTCCATTGCTTCAGTTAGTGTCCAGGATTCAACTCCGTAATACAATATTGAGAAGATATAACATCGTAGGAGCCTTACTTTTATCTCCAGATTAAGATTGTGACTTTTAAAGAGTTTGGCCATGTTATTGAATGCACTCCTAGCCTTCTCTATTCTACATTTTATTTCCTGTGAGTTGCCTGCAGGAATAAAGAATAAAATTTATGAATTTTTTTATAAAATTATCTTTATTAAAAATAAAAAATAAGTAAAACTATTCCCTAACAGAAACTTTGTCACAAAAATATTACATTCTACAATTTTATCATTTTTTAATTTTTTTAAGTCCTAATATCATACCGTCTACAGCAGCAAGGTTGAAGTTTTTCTTGGACAACACAACCGGTATAGTTGAATTTTTCGTTGGAACTATTTCAAAGTTGTGTAATAAATAAGCGAACAATGCTTTAGTTTCAAGCATAGCAAACCTGGAACCTATACAATTCCTGGGCCCTAATCCGAAGGGCAGAAATGTGTAGGGATCGATGGTATCCTTATTTTCGTCGCTGAACCTTTCAGGGTCGAATTTGTCTGGATTCGGGTAGTATTTGGGGTCACGTTGAATCGACATTATAGGAAATACTAATATTGTACCTTTTTCTATTACCAGGCGAGTTTCGTTTGGATTTTCTGGTTCTATTACGTATTCCTTGTTGCAAACTCTGTCTACTCCTGCGAAATTTGGCCATTTTCTTAAAGATTCTGTAACAATAAAATGTTTCATTTAAAAAATCCAACATAATATGCAATAGGAAATTCAACAAGTTTTGCGGTTCTAAAAGAGAGGGCATTGCTAGAAGCCTAATTTTTTTTTGTTATTTTGGTACACTCTCCATATAAACATTTCAGAAGTTTCATTTTACTCTGTCAGTTTATTCTTAAAAAAAAAGAACAGGTGTACGGAAATGGAGGAATTGGAAGAAAAACATGACCACTTTAACATACATAAACTCGTTAAAGAAGTGACAGGTTATACAAAATCTTGCAGTTTTAACAGTATTATGAAGGATAATAAATTAATTACTGATCCCAAGGATCTACTTTAACAGTGGAGAAGCTACACACAGCATAGTAGCTAGTCGATAAACAGAAAAACAGGGGAACCTGTTTATTTTACTAGTATTGTTGTTGAAAGTGAGTAAGTAAGTACCTATACTCAGACAACACTAGAAAAAACTCTGAAAGTGACTATAAAAGTGAACCCTCCTCCAAAATATTGAAGTCAGAAGTTGTAAGGGCAATCAAACAGAGCAAATGGGGAAAAGCACCAGGCCCAGACGACATATACATAGAGGTTCTAACAATGTTGAGTGAAGATAATATAGACGCCTTGGTAGATCTTTTTAATGACATTTATGGGTCCAGTCAAATACCACAGGATTGGCTTCAATCAACCTTTACACCAATACCGAAAAAGCCAAACGCTAATAGTTGCGACCAATTCCGAATGATTAGCTTATTAAGCCAGGTTCTAAAACTCTTCTTAAAGATAATTCACACAAGAATGTACAATAGATGTGAAAGAGACATTAGCCCTACACAGTTCGGTTTCAGACAAGGATTTGGCACAAAGGAAGCACTTTATAGCTTAACTACTTCCTACTTCAGAAATGCAGAAATCAGCAAAAATATATTTTCCTATTCTTCATAGATTACCAGAAAGTGTTTAATTGTGTTAATCATTCAGAATTAGTAAGATTGCTCCAGGAACGTTCGATAGATGAGAATGACCTTAAAATCATAAAGAACCTTTATATGAATCAAGTGGCATCTGTGAGAGTAGGACTGGAATTTACATCATATTTCTCAATCGAAAAAGGTGTACCACAGGGTTGTGTTCTGTCACCCCTCCTTTTTAATATCTTTTAACTCTGAAACGATTTTCGATAAAGCCTTAAGTGACACTGAAGATGGAATCAAAATCAACGGACAGACTATTAGTAATTTTCGCTATGCTGATGATACAGTCATAATAGCTGATAGCCAAAGAAAACTATTTAGAAAACTACTTAAAATTCCTGGACAGATCACACAACAAATGTCGAAGTATTGGGCAGAGATTGAGAATTGCTGAACGAGAACGAGAAGTACCTACCAGTTCTGAAAGCTTATTATGAAAGGGAAGATAGAAGGAAAACGGGGCATCGGAAGAAAGAAATACTCATGGCTTAAAAACATAAGGGATTGAACAAACCTTGATGCCCATACACTCTTTAGAGCCACACAAGATCGAGAAGAGTATGCCAGAATTATTGTCGCCAATTATTAATAAGAGTTATTGGATAGGGCACCATAAGAAGAATTTATTCTTTGTTTAGATGCCATTTAGTATCGACGTGGCACCGTATTTTTTAATATTGTTCTGAAGCTATTTTCTTGTGGCATTGTAAATTAATTACTATTAAACTGGGAATAAGCCACAATTAAAGATAAAAATACGTTTATTGACGTTTCAATTTCCACTTCGGAAATTGAAACGTCAATAAACGTATTTTTATCTTTAATTGTGGCTTATTCCCAGTTTAATAGTAATTAACCGTATTTTTTTAAATGGAAAAATCAATTTAATATGTATTTTTGCAAAGTTTAAGAGTAAAGGAAATTTTTGAACGAATGCATCTCGTTGGGCAATGTAAATAATATTTTGACCGAAGTTTTGGATTTCTAAAAGCCGTATTTACAATGAGTGCCGCATTCTCCCACAAAGAAACAAAAGCACAGATAAAGTGGATTTTATTCATAGATTCATCGGTATGGATGAAATTTAGATCTATAACCATCATCCTGAATCAATACAAGAGGATGTGGTGGAAGAGTGATGTAAGCATAGCTTCGGCTCAGAAACGAAAAATCGGCCAAAAAGGTGTAAGCATCTTTTTTGCGATGCAAAAGGAGTTTTGTTTCTATTACTACGTTTTAGACACAAATTTTTACAAATCGTAAAAAGTATACCGAAATTAAAAACTAATCAACACAGCTTGCTTAGATTATTTTTATAATATAAAGAATTGATAGTAACCGAATATTCTTAAATAACTATTTAACATAAATTTTAAATAATTAAATTTAACTATTATAAACAATGATTTATGTAAACATTTTAAAAGAATCAGATAATATTTGTAGGAACCCTGTAATTTAAGCCCCTGTAAATGAATTCTGATTTATCCTCAGCTCACGTCAATTGCTATTCTGGTCCTAGTGACTTTTTAAATGAAAAAATAATTCTAATAAATATAGTAATATATAAGAAAATTACCACAAGTAACCATATCCAAATACTTCATCTTCATAAGTGTCTCGTAGGTTAATTTCCCATTACACTCTTGGAAACCTTCATCAATTTCTTCTCTTAGTCTGGTCTGGACGTCTGGATTTATAGCCAGTTCGTAGGACATAAACGACATCAAACTGGATACTGAATCGAAACCAGCGAAGAAAAAGATAAGTGCTTGTGCTGTAATGTCTTCGTTAGTTATTTCATTCACAACTGCAGGCGGTTTTCCTAGAACAAATTGGAAGTTGTAGAAAAATAGTTTATATTTTTTTGTCTCTCTTTTGTCATACATACCCAAAAGTTCTTCTTTAACAGTAGCAAATCCTGTATCCATTACATTATGATCATCTTTGTGATGGTTTCCTTTTTTAGCTTCAAGTAACAAATGGATCATATCGGGTCGTACAATATGCTGTTCTTCTCTTGTTTTTAGAGTTTTGTCTATAAGATTAATGAAAAAGTTTCGCGATGGACCATTGAACAGTTTAACGTTGAAAAACTAAAAAAAATTGCTTTATTATTACAGATGGTAGTAAATAGGGAAGTAAAGCGTACTGTAGCTGCTGCTAGAGAAAGATCGTCTGGAAATCTATATGAACAGTTATTTTAAACCCGAGGGGATGGAAAGGTTGTACATCATTGTTAAAGCAAGAAATAAGTCATCAAATGACTTGCCTCACATACATCAGATTAAGAGTGCAAATGGAAGAGTGTTAAGATTTGATGTTGAAATAGAGGAAAGATGGTATGAGTACTTTAGAAAGTTACTAAATGAAGAACATCAGAAGAGAGACAAACAAGGCGACACCCCAAATGAGAATGTAATACCGGGGATAACGAAAAATGAGGCTGTCGACGCTTTAAATGGGGGACAACGGATGCTTTTTTTACTTTGAGACAATTGATAGAGAAATATGGCAAGAAGAGAATTGAGCTAAATTTGGTATTTATAAATCTTGACATGAGCTAAATAAAGATAGGCGAAGAGATACCCAAAGGGTTTGTAATGGATAAAGAACTCAAAACAAGGATGCTGTTTGTCCCCGACTTTATTTAAGATCTACTTTAATCAAGAGCTGAAAACGTGTAAAAGGAAATGTAGTGGTATGAGAATGCTGAGTCTTGGCCCAGGACTACGAAGATTTAAAATATATGACACGCAAACTAACAAGACAACGGTATATCAGAAATGGGACTTGGAATATAAAAACAATAGAAAACATGTGTGTAGGAGGAGAAAAACAAATCTAATTTTTCAAGAGCAACACCAACAAATAAATCACTGTGAAATGTTTAAATATCTAGACATACACACAACCAATGATGGCAATTTGGATACAGAAATAACCAGGAAAGACAAATTATTCAGAAATTTAAACAATTGTAGGATAAACCAATTTCGAAAGAAAATAAACATATAATCTATAATAGCATTATCAAAAGCACTGTTACATATTAAAGCGAAGTATGGCGACTGATGGAGATAGTCATAAAAACTTTGGAAACGACAGAAATGTATTATTGGAGAGCCACCGGTATATTAAGATTAGACAGAGAAAAAATCAAGAGAGTTCAAGAAATCTTGGCGAAAACATACAATAATAGAGGACATCAGAATCAACCAACTAAGATGTTACGGAAACATACAAAGAATGGATGACAGCAGAATCCAAAAAAAAGTATTAAACTAAACACCGCAGGAAAGACGAAAGAAGGGTAGATCGAGATGTAGTCAAGAGAAGGAGTCGACAAAGACACAGTTCCAAGACAAAAGCTGTAGAGAAATATGGAAGAGAACTGGATTGCTGAGAAGTAAGTAAGGCTCCTGAGAAATACATATGGGGGAGCTTACACCAAAGTAAGGATTTGTGTCGGATTGACTGAAAGTTTTTCAGTCACGGTTGGTTTGCTTCAAATTTCTTCACTGAGTCAGTACCTTTTTAATCTTGTTTTGGATGTACTGACAAAGAAGTCAAGGAAGGAGGCTCCTTGGACAATGCTCTTTGTGGATGATTACATATTGGTGGAGGAGAGCAAAGAAATGTTAGAGGAGAAGTTGGAAAAAGTAATAAACTAGGCACCGCAGAGAAGACAAAAGGAGGGTAGACTGAGATTAAGTGGAGAGAAGGAGTTGACAAGGACACAGTTTCAAGGCAAAAGCTATGGAGAAATATGGGAGAGAAATGGGTTGCTAAGAAATACGTAAAGCTCGTGAGGAATATATATGGGAAAGCATATACCAAAGTAAAGATTTGTGTCGGATTGACTGAAAGTTTTCAAGTGACAGTTGGTTTGCATCAAGGTTCTTCACTGAGTGAGTATGTTTTTAATCTCGTTATGAATGTACTGACAGATAACATAAGGAACGGGGTTCCTTGGACAATGCTCTTTGCAAATGATATCGTGTTGGTGGAGTAGAGCAAAGAAATGTTAGAGTAGAAGTTCTAGAGGTAGATCAAAGCTATTGAAGAGAGAGGACTTAAGATCAGCAGGTCAAAAACGGAGTATATGGGGATGGGCGGAACAGAAATGATTAAGGACATTAAATTGCTTAGGGAAAAAGTAGGACCAGTAGAAAAGTTTAAATACCTTTGCTACTACATCACGGAAAATGTGAAAATTATAAAACCTATATAAACTTATGTCAGCCAGCTGTAGGGTTGTGCTAATAAGAGTAATTTAGACATCACCTAGCGATTCAAAACAAAATGCTAAGGAGCATTGGCAAAGCTCTTTGGTACTGTAAGAACAGAGACCATACCATAGGGACCTATAAAAGGATAGTGATAAAAAGACCATTGAACAATTTGCGAAGAGTCAAGAACGACGACTTCTTCAACACGTTAATGTTGAGACCATCCAGCTCCTTGTCAACACGGATTCAGCTAAAAGAGTCAAGAGGAAGAAACCTTTCTAGTTAGTTAAGTGAAAAGCAGAGTATTGTGCAAGTGACGGTACTGGTTAATATTGGTACAATAAATTAACAGAATATAAAAGAGACTAGTGCACTTGTCTCAAGTTTTTAGTAATAAATTAGGCTAGAAAAAAGTTGCTCATTGATCATATTATTTGATCCGATTGTAATGTTCTTAAGCATCTTATTGGTGTTTATTAAAAACATAAAATTCTTACCTTAAGTATCTTCGGCATTAACAAAAACCCTAAAATTCTTGAAATCGAACCAACAGTAGTAAAATCTGTAATTTCTTTGCCCATTAAATAAAACTCATTGTCTTTATTCTTTAAAGAATCTGTATGTAGTCCAAAAGCAGTCGTTGCGATAATATCGTTAGCGAAACGAGTAGATACGTCCTTGAATGGAACCTCTACGACGTCTTCGTTCATTTTTGAGAAGTGTTCTACCAAATTTTGAGCGCAATCAGCCATGAGCTGGTACATCATCTTCATTTTACTACTGGTGAAAGATGGACTTAGAACAGGTCTCATGTCTCTCCATTTTTGATCTGAAATAAAAATCCATTACGTTAAACATACAGATTGAACGAAATAAATTTGGAACATAGGAATATAATGTATTTCGGCTCAATTCTGCTGTAGGTGGTTGGCCAACAAAAGATTGTCAAATAATTATATTATAAAAATCCAATACTTCAGCGGGCTGCTGGATTCTGAACTCATAAAAATTGAAAGCTACACATAAATATACGATTTTATTATGCTGTCAAACCAGTGATAGTCCAGGAAATGAATTATTTCACCTCGCAATTTTTTCGTGCTGCGTAAATTGACTTGAAATTTAACAGAAGGTAGGTAATAGCCTAAGGATCAAAATCTATATCGAACCAAAGTGCGCTAAAGCCTAGGGGGTGGTTGCCACCCCATCTCCAGGGTGAAATTTTTTTTTACGTTTTAACTACAGGTTTCGATTAAAAAAGTGATTCTAAACAAAAAATGTGCTATACATTTTTTTTATAAAATGATATTTTTCAAGTTATTCGCGATTGAAAGTAACAACTTTTAGACGAAAAAATCCACGTTTTTAATCGATTTTTCGCGAATAACTCTAAAATGGTGCATTTTATAAAAAAAATTGTAGAGAACAAATTTGTAGCTTTTAAAAATACAAATACAATTTATTTTTTAAAATATTTTTGCGATATAATAGGAACCGAAATACGGCCTATCAATGTTTAGCGGTTTTCTTCAAATGCCAAATTTGAAAGATTGAAAGTCAAATATCGGGAAAATGATGCATTTTTGGAAGAAAACTCACAAAACCAAAGAGCATAAATAGACCTATCATAAAAAAGACTCTAGCTCAAAAATTGAGTGAGTTATGATGAAAATAAGGTCAAATACCTCATTTTTTACGAAAAAATCGATGAAAACAACCCCCTAACCAACCCCATAATCAAAATCGATCTTTACCCTTCTGCAATTCCCTTTGTACATGTATTGTTAATACGTACAAGAAGTTTGACCCATTTAAAATGCTTAGTTTTAGAAAAAGTACAGCTTAAAGCGAGAAACGATTTACAATTTCATATTTTTTACCCTTCTTTTTTTAAATATGCCCGAAAATACTGAATATATGAAAAAAAAAATTACCAAATTGTAGCTTTTTTAATGACTAAAATTATCCTTTATTTAGATTTGTTGTACAATGCATATTTGGCGAGATATAGCCGTTTAAAGCATCGATTTACGATCAAGCACCATCTTTTTCGAGCCCTTTAAACTCACCCCATTTAAAAACCAAGGGTTCCAAAAAGATTTAATTCACAGATCCTTGTAGCTCTTAAAAACCTCTACAAATCGTTTTTGAAGAAACACTCTATCGTTAAAAATTAAAGGAAATACGTTAAAAAAACTAGTTAATTTTTTTCCGGAAAATTTCATTAGTATAGTACAGTACATTTCGGGGCATAATATTCTACAAAACCGGTATATTAGCTAGTGGGGCGTTATACATTCGAAATTTTAAGCGTTCTTATTTTGAAATCCCATACAACAGAATAAAACGCTCATATGTCTATGGCTTGACAATGAAAATATCAGAGCAACAGATTGGAGATGGTATTCCAAAGATGGTTTGTTATTACCCGTACGCATGAACAAACAACCTGCACCCGATGAATTTTGAAAATTATTTTTTGCCAATGCAAAAAAGGATGCGGCGTTTCATGTGGGTGCAGAAAAAATGGTTTATTGTAACTCTACTTGTTCTGGGTGCTCAGGTGAAGGGTACAATAACAGTCCACCAATAATTGAAAAAGATGAGGATGACATAGATCACGATGAAGATGTAATTGATGACGAATAAAATTAATATTATAATTGTTTTACCTATAAATGTAAATATTTTCAACTATTTATGTAAATGTATAAGAATAAACGGTGCCTTTTTATGTTGATAAATTTTTTTGTATTTAATTTTACTTTTTTCAATTTATATCTTATAAAATAGTTTATAAAAACTGCAATATTGTAAAGGGTGATTTTGAAAAGTTGAAAAGTTGCAAAATTTTGGCAAAAAATTGTTTTTACCTATAGCACTCATAACAATTGATTTTTAAGGATTGAAAATGTATGAATTTGTATTTTAAAGTATAAAAAAATCACTATTTAAAGAATCCAAACCAAATTTCACTCATCTTAAGATTTGTAATATTATTTTACAATTTTTGAAAATTAGGGGTAGTTTTCACCCCTAAGAACAATCAGGGTTTATCGGCATGACATAAACTATAAAGCAGAGGGTGAGTTGAGCTTAATTCCAAATTTTTATGCAAATCGTTCCAAGGTGAAATCATTTTCTTCGCATTACTAAATTTTTTTATATTAATCTTTAATAAGGGTCGCTTTTTAAGGGTTGAAATATGATGGAACTTTATTCAAAAGCACGAAACTATCATTATTTAAATAATTCAAACTAAATTTTACCCACATTCAGGTTTAATATGTTATTTTATAATTTTTGACAATTAGGGGTAGTTTTCACCCCTAAGAACAATCAGGGTTTGTCGACGTGACATAAAATATAAAGCAGCGGGTGAATTGAGCTTAAATCCAAATTTTTATCCAAATCGATCGAAGGCGAAATCATTTTTTTAGAATTAGTAATTTTTTACATTAATCTCTAACAAAGGTTGCTTTTTAAGGGTTGAAATATGATCGAACTCTATTCAAAAGTATAAAATAATCATTATTTCAATTCTAATTCAAACCAAATCTTACCCATATTCAGGTTTAATATGTTATTTTATAATTTTTGACAATTAGGGGTAGTTTTCACCCCTAAAACCCTTCAGCGGACTTCGGTTCGATATAGATTTTGATCCTTGGGCTATCACCTACCTTCATTTAAAATTTCAACTGGATACATGCAGGACGAAAAAATTGCGAGGTTTTAACTTTTTTGGAGCTTTATTTCCTGAACTATTATCACTTCCTTAGACAAACCCGTCTTACGCAAACAACTTTGTTGAGAGACAGATAGTTGAACGATATTTTATACAATGTCTATACCCAGGTATGGATTTATTTTTGTCCAAGTTTTATATTGGTCCACTATTTCAAATGCAGTTCAAACAGACATATATTAAATTGTATGATCCGTGTTAATTTGGTTCAATCTGTATCTGCATGGTCGTAATTTGATACTAGAGTCTTTAAATGAGATTCTAATCTTTAAGAAGCTGTGTTGGAACCTACCTGTGAGAGCAAAGAGATTTTTAGACCACAAGGAATCAGCTCCTTCTGGAATTAACGGTCTGTGATTAACAAAATGATCAAAATCTTTTACGGCTACTTGCTTCAAAAGTGCTGGGTCTTTAATTAATAAAGTTGGTACTACAAATTGATACATTCCGGCATATCTACAACAGAAATGTTTATATATCTCAATATAACTATTAATTTTACTTATTATGTTACCTTCCATCTGTCAACTGGTAGCCTCTCTCGAAAAACTCATAGATATTTTCTAGTCTCAATATTTGTTTCCATTGATCTCCAAAAAACCATACTGGTTTTGACTGTACTACTCCTCTGTCTTTCCAGTAGCTCATAGGCTTAATGGCAAAGTAGTAGAAGAGAACTACTGCTGTGAATATTAAGACGATTTGCAACATTTCGCTTCTGAGAATGTACAATCTAAAATAGAAAATAAGATTACACAATAATGATCATCGCAACAAGGCCAACATTTTCTGAGTAATCGTATTTTTAGTATATGGAACAGTCTCCCTACGGAAATTATAAATTCCCCATATCTATAAATTTTTTTAAAAACCAACTAGACTGTTACATGTTTGTAAACTGAACAATACTGTATACAATTTACTAGTTTATAGTTTATTTGCGTAACTAATTATTTTGTGATGTACTATTTTATTTTTTTCTTGTCAATGGGCTTATGGTTCATGTCCTCAGCCCTTATTACTATGTAATAATAATAATAATAATGTAAAAATCAGATGTCAACATTACAGGAATATTCCTTATGAACCTTTCACCACTGAAGAAGTCTCGAACGTTATCAAAGAGCTTCATAACTGGAAATCTCCTGGACCGGACGGAGTTCAAAACTTCTGACTAAAGAAGTTTTGGAGTGTTCATGAGCTTTTAACAGTATTTATTAATAATATTATTTCTAATTCACAGGAAATACCATCATTCCTTACTCAGAGAACCACTTATCTAATACCGAAAGATCAAAATAACACCCAAGATCCAGCCAAGTACCGCCCAATTACTTGTCTTCCAACTTTGTACAAATATCATAGAGCCCCAACAGAAAGGATGCGCTAAGGGCTCCATGGGATGCAAAGAACAACTTATTATCGACACAGTCATTTCTAACCAGGCATACACCAAAAAAAGAAACCTTTTTGCTGCCTTCATTGACTACAAGAAGGCATTTGATTCAGTGCCGCATGAATGGCTTATAGATATATTGAAAATATATAAAGTCGATGATAATCTCGTGACCTTTTTGAAGCATATAATGGCAGAGTGGAAGACTAAAATTCACCTCAAATACCTGGTGAAATTAATATCGAAACTGAAGATATCCCTATTAATCGGGGCCTTTACCAGGGGGGCTCGTTGAGTCCACTTTGGTTCTGCCTAGCGATGAACCCACTATCTCAGCTGCTGAACTCTACTGACTCAGGATTTAGCATCAAAAATAACAACACTGTTGTAGCGAAGCTTAATCATCTGTTGTATATGGATGATTTAAAATTAATGGCTTCCACTCGAAACCACCTAAATGAGATGCTAAAAACTGTAGAAAATTTCTCAAATGATATCAGTATGCATTTTGGACTAGACTAGTCGCCGTATACTAAATATAGTCAGAGGAAAGGTTCAGCCCGGAGGTTTCGATATGCAAGATGGCCAAAACATCGAAGCAATGGGTGAAAATGATATGTACAAATATCTCGGAGTGAAACAAGTGCGGAAAATTGGCCATAGACAAATGAAAACCGAACTAACTTCGGAGTTCGTGCGAAGAATAAGACAACTAAATCGGTCATATCTTAATAGTAAAAATTTGTTTAAGGCAATAAATACGTACGCCTGTTCCGCGCTGAGCTACTCATTTGGTATTATAAAGTGGTCAAAAAATGGATATAGAGGGTCTTCAGCGGAAAGTAAGAAAACTTGTCACAAAGGCGCAAAAACATCATCCACGTAGTGCAGTAGAGAGAACAACATTACCGCGGTATCAAGGGGGAAGAGGACTTATGGATATAGGTGAGCAATTAGATAAACAAATTGCTAATTTAAGATCTTATTTTCAGGTACAGGCTGAGACATCTACTTTACATCGAGCAATTTGCGCAGTAGATGATACGACGCCGCTTAAACTGAGGGAACAAGAAATGCGCATAGACCACCTGACAGCAAGAAAAAATGCGCACCTGGATGAGTAAACCTCTGCATGGGCGACATCTCAATGAGATCAACCAAGAATATGTCGCCAATACAGCGTCGAACTATTGGTTGACATCAGGAAAGATATTTCCTGAGACTGAGGGTTTCCTACTTGCCATTCAGGATCAGGTTATTCCAACTAAAAATTACCTGAAATATATTGTTAAAGATCCTCAAGTCCCAAATGACAAATGCCGATATGGATGCCAAGCCCAAGAAACCATCCAATATCTTACCGGTGGCTGCCAGGCATTTGTCGGTACTGATTATAAAGAACGCCATGACTCAGTAGGAAAGATTATCCACCAAGAACTAGCTGACAAACTGGGACTTCTTCAAACCGACCATCTTCCTTATTATCAATACGCCACTGATAGAATGCTTGAAAATGACAACTACAAGCTATACTGCGACCGCACTGTGCTTACAGACCAACCAGTCGCCCATAATAGACCGGATCTCGTACTAGTTAATAAACTTACTAGACAAATAACACTTATTGATGTGACGATACCCAACACCAATAATTTTGGTGTTAAATACAACGAAAAGATCGTTAACTACAGAGATCTAGAAATACAAATCAGGAGACAATGGAGAATGGAAAGTACCCAGACACTACCTATTGTTCTATCTACTACTGGTGTTATTCCCAAAAACCTCCTAGCAAACATAAAACAGCTGGGTCTAAATGAACATCTTTATAAGGCCATGCAGAAAGCTGTACTCCTCGCGACGCGACGTCCAGATGTGTACGAAAATTTTTGGGAGATACTCCAACATACCAAGTCACCTAGGGCTCGGTAACACGGAAAGAGTCCCACCAGAACTCAATCCTTTTGATACCGTAGGTATCTGAGATGAGTGAATTTTCCCCTTAGAGGGAGTGTGAGCCGTATGGCTAAATCTGGGATGTAAAAATCAGAATTCAATAATAAGATCCGGAAGTATACAAAACTGTATAATAGTTTAAAGTTAGTTTTTCATTTATAAAAGTTGCTTTTTCATTTATAACTCCCCAAGATTGGCTCTAACTCGTAGATTTATAAGTTTCTTTCAACTCACCAGAAGTCTTCATGTGAGCCTTATTTTTGAAAATTCATATTTGTGTACGAAAACTTAAAATTTTTTTATTTAAAATGAGATTTAGTTTGTTTCTTATTTGTTATAAACAAATTAGCTGTGACTTAGTAATAAACTAACTCTATATACCTACTCGTATAAACAACTTAATTTACAAGAATTAACGATTTTGCGTTATTTTCAAGTTTTTGGAACAACTTAATTTTAAAACTTTTAAAATAAAAGCAATTTTAGAGGTTTTTTGTGTTTTAAAAGACAACATTTTTGGACATAGTTTCAAATATTATCCTTTTTAATAGTAATTAAAAATTCGAAAATATTGCAGCGTCTGCACTAAAAAATAATACCCAATTTTGTACGTAAAACAGAATTCTGTTTGTTTTCTTTCTATAAAACTTTATTTTTATAAAACTATAAATCCAGGAGTAGATATACCGATTTGTACTAAAAGCATCTTAATATCGTTAATTGATTTCCAGTTGTAACCATTCAATATACCTACTTAAAGCACTCATATTGTTGGTGAAATTGTAAAAAATTACGTAAATGCGTTATTTACTTCCTATAATTTTTAACATCCTCATTAACGTCATTAACCTACAAATCGGTTGTTAAGGTAAAAAAGACTTACCTTTAGATGTTGGGTGTCACTTTTGATTTCCAAATATTACACAATGATCGACAAACACTATTTACCTCAGATAATTTATATTAGGAACTGATAAAAAAATTAAATTACCAAACAAACAAGTTTACATGACCTTCAACGAGTTCTCAGGTGTATGTGTTCTAAAAGATTAGACAAGAGAGTGATGATCCTTGAAGTTATTGACTTGCACAAAAAATTAAGAAGCAATTCGACTACAGTTTGAAGATTACTACTTTTGTTTTGACAAAGTTACAAAGTTAAAATTTCTGACTATATTTCACTGAATTGCAATGAAAGATGTTCATCATACAAGAAATTTCCAAAACCACAAAAACCCAAACAGGTGATTTATTAAGAAAATGCGATTTCTTTTTTAGATAATATTATGTGGATCGGAAATTTAGACGATTCGTTAGATGAAACAATAATTTATTATAAAAAACCCAGTAAAAACCGTAATAAGGACAAAACAATTGAAATTGAGACTGGTGAGGCAATTCTTGATTAAATTGAAAAGAAAACATTGTGTATTTCTCATTGTTCTAAACTCAATATTGTTCTGAAGCTATTTTTTGTGTCATCTTAAAGCAATTACTATTTTAATGGAAATAAGCTACAATTGAAGTTTAAAATATATTTATTGACGTTTCAATTTCCACTTCAGAAATCGTTATCAAAATATTTTGATAACGATTTCCGAAGTGGAAATTTAAGCATCAATAAACTTATCTTAAACTTCAATTGTAGCTTATTCCCATTAAAATAGTAATTACAACTTAATAATATAAACAAACTTAATGAGGAAATAATACATTCTAAGTATTGTTTTCCAATAAATATTTATCTTTTAATGTTTGCAAATAATATAAAAATTGATTTATGAAATATGGAAATTCTTCATTGCATTTGGAACCATGTTAAAATTTGTGAATATAGAATATATGAATGTGAATATGAATATATGAAATAGTGTATAGGCATTATCTGGTTATATGGTTTGAAAAAATGTATACCACAATTTAATATACAGGGTGAGTCGTGAGGAACTTTACATACTTCTACCATATGTAGAGTCCCTCAGGGAGCACATCATGTGGCCACTAAAAAATGTCAACTCCTCTTCTTTATTAATTAACAGGGTGATTTGTGTAATTGACCATTTATTTCATTTTACTGTAGTGTTTATACGGCTCATTTAATTTTTTTAATTTTTGCATAATACAGTACACTACTATCAAGCATTCGACTGGTATTAGCTAAACTAAAAAATTTCAGGACTGGCTTTGGAAAAATTAATTTAGGGATTCGTATTAAATATTACACCCTGTATATATATATTTTTTTAAATGCAATAAGTGATTTTTAAACTACATACATAGCCAATGAAAACGACATATGCGACAATGTTGTCGCACTTTTATTAAATTTTTAGTGAACGATCAAATCTTACCAAAAATAGAACAACCATAATGAAGTATCAAATTATAAGGTATTAATTTAAACAAATGTTATAAATTTCAAACATTTTAATTAAAATGAGTTCCTACAACATAATCTAATACGTAGAAAATTAACATCTTTACTGTCACTTTGTATTATCTCTACGATAGAATCAATTGTTTTTCAATTTTAAATTTTTACTCATAGATCGTATTGGGGCATTATTTTCGATAAATAATCAATTAAATTTATTAAAAAGTCAAACCTTTTGTATGTGTTCGTTTTTGTTGATTGTAAATGATTAAAATTTTATGTGAAATAATAATACATTCCATCAACTGTACTAAATAAAAATATATCTAAAAAAGTTTAAAATGAAGGTTGGCGTTGACCGTTTGACGTTTCTTGATATTTTATACCCATTGTCATTATTGTCATTATCAATTGTTATTTATGTGTACAAGAATACATATTTCTTCTGTCATATCTACGTTAAGTACATTGTGTTAGTTTTGGTAGAGCTTTTGTTACTTTCGTTCAAAATGCCACATCAGTTTTCGACCACAGAATATGCAGACATAATATTTGTTTATGGATTCTGTAATGGAAATGGTAGGGCTGCTAGTAGAGAATATCGCAGGAGATTTCCTAATTGTCGAACTCCCAGTCATCCAACATTTTTGTCAGTTTTTAATTATTTGCGAGAAAATGGCACTTTTCCTAGTGGAACAACAGAGCGACATGTAGATGAAGCGCAGGAAGATGACATTATGGACGCCGTTACTATGAACCCTACAATAAGCACTAGACAAGTAAGTCGAGAACTCAATGTTACTCAATCAAAAGTAAGTAGAGTCTTACAAAAAAATAATCTATACCCACATCACATTCAAATGGTTCAGCGACTACATGCTGGAGATGAGATCGATAGGTTGGAATTTTTGTAGATGGATTAACAATAATCGACCAACGCTATACAGGATAATATTTACAGATGAAGCCCAATTTACCAGAGACGGGATAAATAATTCACGAAATTCACATGTGTGGGCAGAAGAAAATCCCCATGCTATTCGAGAACGTCGTTCTCAGTTAAGGTTTTCGGTTAACGTGTTGATTGGTGTCATAAATAACCAATTAGTAGGTCCTCAATTTTTTGATGGTCCTTTAACAGGGCAGGTCTATTTGAACTTTCTACAAAATATTTTGCTGAATTTGCTTGCCAACGCGAACGTTGCTATCCGAGGGATGTATTTTCAGCATGATTGGGCACCCCCATACTTTTTACTGGCAGTGAGACAACATCTCAATAATGTTTATGGCAACAGGTGGATAGGACATGCAGGTCCTATTTCGTGGCCTTTAAGATCCCCTGATTTCAATCCCGTTGATTACCATATTTGGGGACAATTGAAGCAACTAGTTTACGCAGTGAATATTAATAACCGACAACAATTAATTGATAGAATTATACATTGTTGTAATACTATTAGAAACGATCCCCAGAGTATCCGTAATTCAATACGTCAATTAACAATTCGGCAACAAAAATGTGTACAGGCTGCAGGGTTCCATTTCGAAAATCTATTTTGAATTATTTTTATTTTGTTACCATTATTGTATCTTTTCCAGTTCTAATTTATGGGTTTATCATAATTATGTACATATTTTTAGTTTTTTTTTAAATTGTTCTTCGTTATTGTTACTAGTTACTGTTTTTTGTTGTGCAGTAACTCAGTTTATCATTTCAATTAAAATGTTTGAAATTTATAACATTTGTTTAAATTAATTACCTTATAATTTGATATTTCATTATGGTTTTTCTATTTTTGGTAAGATTTGATCGTTCACTAAAAATGTAATAAAAGTGCGACAACATTGTCGCATATGTCGTTTTCATTAGCTATTTATGTAGTTTGAAAATCACTTATTGCATTTAAAAATATATATATATACAGGGTGTAATATTTAATACGAATCCCTAAATTAATTTTTCCAAAGCCAGTCCTGGAATTTTTTAGTTTAGCTAATACCAGTCGAATGCTTGATAGTAGTGTACTATATCATGCAAAAATTAAAAAAATTAAATGAGCCGTATAAACACTATAGTAAAATGAAATAAATGGTCAATTACACAAATCACCCTGTTAATTAATAAGGAAGAGGAGTTGACATTTTTTAGTGGCCACATGATATGATCTCTGAGGGACTCTACATATGGTAGAAGTATGTAAGGTTCCTCATGACTCACCCTGTATAAAATACATAAAGAAATTAGGAAAATACAAAGAGAAAACAAAAAAGAAGCAGTAAAATAATAAAAGAATAAAAAAAAAACAAAGTAAAGAAATAAAAAAACAAAATTTATGCATACATAAAAAATATAATTAGGTATATGTAGGTAGTACTAACATTCTGATAAGAAGAAAATTTTGACTATGAATCAGAAATCAATAATAATTAAAATTCAGTCAACTTTAAAAACAAACAAAAACAACTCAGGCTAATTGGCTCTGCAAAAGATATTTTTTTGGAAAACGCAACATTTACTGTTCCGTTTCAAAACTTTTATATCTCTGTAATATTGTTCACAAATTTTAATAAACCGATTGACTTCCAATTTCTTTCAATCCTTAAATTAACCCGGATACTCTCTTGTCAATTCTCTAGCTAAATTTCCTTCTTGGATCTGCTCCCAAAAATGTATCTCGGTTTCTTGTCCTAACCAAACTCCTATCTCCTTTTGGTTACTTAATTCTTCTAGCTTAAACATCTGCCGATGCAATGGTAATTTATGAGTACTTACAAATATTGTTCACATTAACTTCTGCACTGCTACCGATCAGCATACATGCAATCGCTCCTGCTACCACTTTTTCAAACACTTTTGTCATCTTTTAAAGGGCCTTACTGGCGATCTGATGCCTGTGAGATTAAAATCCGTTCTTGATCAATACAGTATCCACAATTTTACAAAGATCTCTTGTTTGGTATTCTGTCTCTTTTGATGTTTTCTCAGCAAATGACCTGAAGGCTCTAATTTCCGCCGTTCTATCATTTTTATCGCATTTATACGTGGAATCGATTGGCACAGTTGAAAATCGCTGATAAGCTACACTAAGTGGTTAAAGGAACTCAAATAGAAGCAAACTTACCTCTAGTGTTTTGTATCACATGTGATTCCAGAGTAATTAACAGTGATCAATAAATAGTCTTTGCCACCAATAATTTAAATATTAACAACAGATAAACAGTCAAATTACAAACAAAAAAACTTCACATGACCTTCAACTAGTTCGTAGGCACAGGTGTTTTATATAAAATTAGACAGTGATTGTGCGGATATCTTCTTCTAATCTCACACGTTGAAGTACTTTTGTTCTCCGGTGGGGAAACTTTTACCAAATTAATAAGTACCAGATGTACAACAATCAACAAACAAATCATTATCGTGACTAATCAAATTAAGCAATTTAATAATAAACTAATATTACAATTATATATATATATATATATATATATATATATATATATATATATATATATATATATATATATATATATATATATATATACTTTGGAGGGTAACTTTCGGGAAAGCGTCAAAACAAGGATCAGCTAGAGATGGTATAAGCCAGCTTGGTGTAGAACTTTATTCTAAATGTGAAATTTTCGGTGATATGTTGTCACCTTCATCAGCACCTAAATGGAAAACCTATTATAGTACAGTGGTGGAAATCAACATTTAAAAACCTACATTGAAAATGTTCAGTTGGTCCTAGTTGTAAAGAACACTGTCACAAACATGTTAAAAATATTAAAAAATACATTTAAAATTTTGAATAAAAACATTACAACACAAACAGGGTAGTTTTTCAAATACAAACACAACAAAAAGTCTAAAATTTACAACCTACAAAAACTGCAAATAGAAAAGAAGAATTAATCTTCTTTTTTGATGACATATTTCTGTCAACATCCGGGTGTCATATGTAACGAGGTTATAATTTTCACTTTTGCACCTCACACACAACCACATGGATACGAAAAGAAAGAGCCCTAGGCAACATAATAAGCAAGGAAATGAAGTCCCCTCTAAAGCACAGGTAGGTAATCTATGCATGTCATGATAAGTTCCCCACATTTTCCAGTTTGTTACTTCTTGTCAAGTCCTGTTGAAGTAGAAAGGAATAAATACAACTTAAGTTTTCAACATCTTTCTTACAGTTCATAGGAGAGCTGCAGTTATGGATGTAGCACATTTCTATGAAGTTTCTCTTAAATTGGTTGTCAACCCTCTTTAGTACTTGCACATTTTCATAGTTAGCAGTGTGTCCAGTATTCTTAATATGTTGGCTAAAGGCTGTGCTGGTAGGCTTCCTTACAACATCACTCCTGTGCAAAGCTATTCTTTTTGAGAGTTTCTGGCTGGTTTGACCGACATACACTTCTGAACAAGAACCACATGGAATAGAATACACTACATTGAAGTTATCCAGTTTTTTAACTCTTTCTGTCAGGTGAGTAAAGTATGTCCCTAATCTTTTGTAAACAGAATTTGCTATCACTATGTTGAACTGTCTGAAAAGGTTTGTGATCTGTGGTGATAAACCTTTGATGTAAGGCAATCTCCCATAGAACACTTCTACTGTTTCTCCTTCTAATGTTTGTCTTTGCTGTGTGCTAACTGTTGGCATATCTTGAAATAGCAATTTATTAAGAAGGAAGAGAAACAGTAGAAGTGTTCTATGGGAGATTAGTAGAGGGCAAATGAGAGTTCTAGCCGCACCGTTCGTATACCCCCCACCACCGACCCCCCCACCATTATTATACCTCCCTCCAATGGTAAGGTAAGGGGTGAGAGTTCTAGCCGCACCGTCCGTATACCCCCCACTATTGACCCCCACCATTTTGTATACCCCCCACCACACCTCATACCCCCCACCACAGACGAGGTCAACGACCGGTCAAAGTCAAGGGGGTAACGACCGGTAAAGGGGTCAAAGACAGGTCCAGGGGGTCAATGAACGGTCAAGGGGTCAATAGCCGGTCAAGGGGTCAACGACCGGTCAAGGTCAAAGGGTAAACGACCGGTAAAGGGGTCAAAGACCGGTTAGGGGGTTAATGAACGGTCAGGGGTCAATAGCCGGTCAAGGGGTCAACGACCAGTAAAGGGGTGAAACGTTGTTTTCATAAGGTAAAAAACAAAAAGTAAATATTCCATATTTATTTTATGTAATACATTTATGACATTGGTATTTGTATGGTAGGTAAGTGTTAAATAGCGAGATTGAATAGTGCTCCAAACAAGGTAGCTTCATTTGGACGACTTCATTACGTCGAATATGTGGTGGAAGTTCATTCCATTTATCCAATAGATCAGACCCATCAACATGATTCAGAAGGTACCACGCCGGAAATCGTTCTAACTCTTGTTTGTTAAATAAACAAAAATTTTTACGGCGAAGATAATGATCCGTTATTACTTGTTCTAATAAAGGATCGTGTTGAATAAGATTTAGAATACAAATATAGCAGTCGCTGACGGAAGGTGGGTACATCACTCCATCAAAGGTGGAAGGCCAATGATTAAAACAGCGAGTAATTTTCGTTAGAATATGCGGATCATTTTTCACTTCATCTGGCAGTTTATGTTCAATATCTCGTAACTCTGACGCTTTCATATACCGGAGATATTGTAATGGAAAATCTCGTAATTCTTCGAAAGAAAATGCGCTCAATGGAACAGCAGGAAAGTGTTTACTGTAAGAAGTCATGTTGAATACTGTTTGATTACATGTAAAATATTACCGCAAGAATAACTGGTTATACCCCCCACTCACAGATACCTCCCTCTTACTGATAACCCACTGAGACCACCCACTTACTAGACATAAATGATATAAGGTAAAGTGACCTGTGTATCGAGTTAGTAAACATGTCTCAATACGACTTTAGTGATAACACACCCGTTCAAAAATATCGGGTAGAGAATAAAAAAGATGTAATAATAGGAGAAAAAAGTTTTCAGTTAAACAGATCGAAAAGCAAATTTGTGTCTATTGGGTTAAAGTACGGAGCGGAGTGTACACCAGTGATATCACTATATGGAAATCAAGGACAACGAGTAGTATTCACGGAAGAAGATTGGAAAGAATTTTTATACTACCAAGGAGTAATTACTAATTATCTGTACACGGTAGAAAGCAGTAAGTCTATAAGAAGAAAAAGCTATAGTATAGAATTTGAAAAGGTACTGGAAGCGAAAGTAATAAAGATATCACAAAGTAACTCCTACATTTATTTAGGGTATGAAACCATCTGTAAATTATGGGAGGTGTTACCGCTTATACAACATCATATTACCCATTTGAAACAAGGAAATTTCTCGGAATATTTAAAGAGTATATATCCACGATTACAAAACAACAAAGGTGATTTTTATGAAAACGTGTTAAGAAGTGTCAACGCAAACACTCAAGTTTGCTTTGAAGATATAAGTAATATTTTGGAATTGGTGTACGTGTATCCAGAAGCATTAAAAGATGTCTGCACAAACGGGAAAAAGAGTAACTTTTAATGATCATCTTAACAAAACACATGTTCTACGAGTTTGGAACCACGCATATCGTCAAGCACGACAAAGGTACTGGGAAATATTTGTAATATATTCAATAAGGTTTAAAAAACGAATCGAAGAAACTTCGAAAATATTATCTCCGATTTTAAATATAAATCATAGAATGTTTGTATACAATAGTAGGTTTAAATAAATATTAAATCACAAAAGTTTTTTATTTTAAAAATTTATTAAATAAAAAATGTTTAACATATTTTATAATTACATTTAAAAGTAAAAAAGTAACACAAATAACTAAATACCAGGATAAACAAATATTTGATAGATATTCCCCACCAACTTGAGTAGCACCAGAAGAGATGTAGAGCTGACGCCATTCTGTTTCATCATTAAGGTAATTGGGAAAAGGTAATCGTAGTTTGTATACTGTACTGTTATATGGTATATAAGCGAATCTAAGATCTACTCCATTTAGCTTATAAAGACTCATGTTAGTCCACTGCGATGGCCAACTATCATTTTTTATTCCATTTCTATCAAAACATATATGAATATCGTTTACAGCATAAGGTTGGTAAATATAAAGTACTCCCTGCAAAACAGCATGTAAAATAAGTAGACCTGCTCCAGGCATTATTTTATCGCGAACTAAATTCTGTTAGATAAATTTTCTATATTTATACAACATTATTTTTACTAATCCACGAGTTGTGACTTTTATCCAATCCCAACCATTTAACATAAACTTGGTTAGCTTTGCGTTTTAATATCCGTTCCACAAGATAGACGTCTGAAAATTTAACTTTTTGAAGTTCTTCGGTGTAAAATGCCCCATTAATTTCCTCTTGTTTAGAATCCTCGAGTAAGTAAGTAGTTGGATTGGTTAACTGAACTTTTTTAATCTTAAATATTTCAGTACTCCAAGATGGTGTATATCCTTTAGCAAATGCGTGGCGATATTTACTTATACGAACATAATCCCCTCTTTGAAATTTTGGTTTACGTTTATCAACGGTTTTTAACCAGTTGTAAGCAATTATCTGCTTTGCATTTCGATTAGTTACTTTACTTGGAATGACACCCGTAGTTGAATGTTTGGTGTTATTGTACTGTTCAACGATAGATGGTAGTATGTTAACCCATTTATAAGAACCTTGCAAACTAAATTGTTTCCACAACTTTGACTTAAGAGTTCGTATCACACGTTCAGCAATACTTGCTTTTAAATTAGAATATGTGCTGTAATGATTTATACCATAAGATGACATTAGGTTTTTAAAGTGGGAATTATAAAATTCAGTCCCATTATCTGTTTGTAAATGTTTAGGAATTTTAGGCATTTGAGATAAAATTTTCTTCATACAATTGGTAACTTCAGACCCCGTTTTTCTTTTAATCGGTGACGCGCAAACATATTTACTAAATGCATTTATGACAATAAGAATATAGTTATATCCGCTGTTGTATTTAACAAAAGGAGTCATAACAGCTAAATCTGCTTGACACAAATCATGCAAACCTTTAATAATAACATGCCTCCGTTTAAAGTTTTTTTTTGCGGGTTTATGAAGTTCATTAACGACTTGTTCTTTGGGGTTAGACATTTTTTTCTAGTGGACACTGAAGAGTAATATGGACAAAAACGTTAGGATTCGTATCAAGTTTAAACGAAAGTTTATCACCTTTCTTTACATGTAAACCAGGTAATTCATGAT